CGGTTCATTTAAGCCACAGCCTTGGGAGCTGCATCTTAATTTCATTTCAATTTCAAGCACACCTACACGATAACGAGAACTACAGCCAGTATTTGATTAATATTTGATGAGCATTTCTTGAAACAATTACCAGAGACATGGATTTTTCCCCGAGCCAAATACAATACCACGGCTTCGTAAGCCAGCACATTTCACGATAATTATGTTTCACACATAACAGATAAACTTAGGTTTGCACTTTGTTCATGTCAGTAAGTTAGAAGGTACTTTCTCAACAGTAGATATGAGATACATTAATTAAGGAGCGTTTTGGTTATTTTAAAGTGCAGACAACGTATAGGTTGAAAAAAGAGACAACACTTTATATACATGTATTTTCGAAGGGAACCCAAGTGTCGCCTGTCTTTGTGTTTCTTTCTACTATGTGAGAGACCATTTTCTGGTTGCATTTACTGTATTTTTATGATGAAGTGAAAAGATGAGCTTTTGACTGTCATCCCATTCTGGCTTGTAACCGAATTTAAAGACTTTTCAGGGCCTAATCTCCAAACTGAACTTAAAGTAAAGCTTAATGAAGCCACATTTTTGGTTAGCGAACTTTCCAGTTATTAATCTTTGTCTGTAAGTGTGTGACACAAATCAGGAAAAGCTGAATATATAGGATTCAGATGAGACTGCTGGGGTTAATCAGTTTCTGAATACGGGGGGGGAGTCAGGGAGACGATTTACATCGGGCCAACAGATGGATATCAAAAATGGCCGCACTATGGGGGAAATGCCTTCGTGTACGGCACACGATGACCGGTGTTGTTGCCACAGCTCATTTCTCTAATATGTGACCGGGGAGATGTCTAAACAGACGTCCCAAAATATACACACCATCATCTGCCTCTGACCGAGTTTGTTTGTTCGACCCTTTGACGGAGACGGAACCCCCCCCCCTACATACACACTCGGTAAATCTTGCAATATTTGTTGCCCGCGTAGTACTAGACTTCCGCCAGTCTAGCGGTAGGTAGCTAAATCATAAATTGACGACAGCAGAAGATTCTGTGCCTTTGCTGTGGGAATGAATATGATGATAAATCGAAGTACTTACCCACATGATAACCGACTCTACAACTTGCACATAGCTACACTGACCACGAACTCCGAATTGACGGATAAGGTGTTCTCTAGGGGACAAACAAGTAACGCACCTTGCTTTGTGACGTGAATTTAATTAATAAAGCTGTAAACAAAAATGAAACACGCGCTTTGGAAATAAATATTACCCAACCCACAAAATGGCTTGGCATAATGTAACCCGAACATTTGACGTCCCCGAGCAATTATTAATCATTTGTCACTTGGAGATGGTTCGTGAAAGGAGTGCACGCACTGAGGAATATTTACTCTATAGGCCTAAAAGGCCTTGCATGAATGAAGGACAAGTTCAGATATCAACGAGACCCTATTCAGGGCCGGCACCAGAGATAAGAATGACAAATAGATTTGATAAATGGACGTTAATTGTGGACCAGTGTGGATGCTACCAGACCAAAATGGCCGCTTGGTGAAGGCGCGAGCAAGTACGAAAAACATAGTCGCAAGAAGTCCTCGGGGGGGGGGGTTATTGAAATTAATTAACCAGCGCGAACACAACGTGATACGGACATTTAGTTGTGGCGCCCCTAGCTGACGGTGTGTGTACACGAACATACATATGAAATGATGGCAGTTGGCACGGCAACCCCTATTATGCTAAGGCTACGTGCATGCAGAGGTAAGCCACATCGCCAACGGTGAAAAAAAAAGAAATGGTTGGAAAAACAGATTGTATTCCACGTTGCCATTAAATTGATGTGTTTAATGGCTTTATGCATGATTCGCGTATAATAACAGCTGATAAGCGTCGTATTGGCTGTCGCGTCCTCTGATCCATAATTGATGGTGCGCCAGAGGATATACCAGAAGGATTGTCAGCGGAAATTACTGCAAAACCAATATTTCAAGAAATCTGTCCTCACAGTTTTTGATGCAGGCCTATTTTTTGACAAAAGCAAAATGCGTTTTTATGAAACAGGGAGTCTCCAAAGAGTGTGCTGGTTGGAACCTCAAAGTTCACATTTTCTAGTTGTGTCAAAAACTTGTGTTCATATCAAAAACAAACGATCTATTATTTGTCCATATGAGTCACTCGAAGTCATGGAAACAAGGGCCGTTCATTGGCTGGCATGGCAATGACGTCAGAGCATGCGAGCACGAAACATTGCTTCATAATGGCTTTTTTAAGTTCAAAGTTTGCTTGAGAGGACGCCCGGTAAAACTTTAACCTCGAACTTCTTCAACCTGCGGTGGCGATTTTAATCAGTTACCCTCTAGCTTCAAATATTAACTCTGGCCCTTTCAGAAGAGGGCCGCATTGTTTTGGCGACGCGTTCAAACACTTCATGACAACCGGGCTTAGCGAAGTATGCTATATATCAACCAGCGACCGGAGCACAATCCTATTCAGCCCTAAATCCATCCGCACAGCAGCACGCAGCTGTCCAGCAGTTCCTTTTTGCTCGTCGGACCAGAAGCAATTGCTGACCCGAGGAAAAGAAGACGATAACGGGAGATCGTATCTTTTTAAGCTTTATGCGGACACCGCATCGGATCTAATCCAACTGCAGCTTGATTCTTGGGTAAGTTGTAGATTTAAAAAAAACAGACAGTCTGGTGTTTCCTGTAATTATGTTTGCATTTTAGTCAAAGTTGAAGACATGACAATCAACGTGGATGCAACAGAACTGACACCAGTTTTAAATGTACTGAGGAGAGGAGACGTTCATGTTCACTCCGAATTTCCCTGCAGTTGTTCAAAATCTGATCTGCGGAATAATCCGTCTGGATATGTCTTTTCGCTAGTGAAGCTCGTTCCAATCACCGTAGAACCTGTTGAAATTAACCTGCATGAAGGTGAATAAAGTGATTTCGTGATGGAGACACGCGTGCACAAATTTCCGTCGACGGTTTTATGACTTTGCAGCCGTGTTAGGCCTTATGCGTGGGAAAGAAAACGTAGGCCCATCCTTTAAAACGGCTGAGAGAAACCCGAATGAACAACTGATTTAATCTTTGATCGGCCCAATAAGCATTATTACCTACAATAAACAGTGTATTTTTTTGTAATATTAAGTACCGATGACTGTCAAAACGATTAGTCGGACTATTACATTACGGTGTCTACAATGTAGCATGGCTATATGCGCATGTTTGTGTGCCCGCGTTGACTGCAGATTTTCCCCACCCTATGGTAAGTCGTGCACTGTTTGGTGACATAGGCCCGGGATGGTAGACTTGTAGCAGTCTTTGCCAATGTCAGGGTCAATTGTTTGGATCATGAATCAAATCGTGGAGGTCGTAGATGTGACCCGTGAATGCTGCTCATCTGCTTGCCATCACACAATCGACTTATTTTTCTCCAGTTCAAGATGCATAGTTCCTAACCCCCCCCCCCAAAAAAAAAAACACTATAATCTCACGCAATGTAAATGCCGCGGTGCTCTGATAGTGTGCTTACTTGAACAAAATGGACATTATGGAAGAAAGTTACAAACTGGAAATAATAATTATTTTTCAAAACTGCTCGCTTTTCACTTTGCCTATCTGCTGCTTTAAACAAACCTGTTTTAGCTATAGCGTTCAAGAGCGAATCAAGAATTATAAAAGGACCAAGGCCTATATGGGATCTCCAGACTTCTAAGGCTCTGCTACATGTTTTGGGTCATTTTCAAAATAGACCGGTAAGAACACTGCTTTAGTGGACGAACTTCGTTAAACTAAAAGTAATAAATCCCAAAGCCATCGCAGCATCATCGTTGTATTGTGTGGATGCTCTTTCGCGAGGAACTGATCGGGTAAGTCTAGGCCATGACCATAATGCCGAAACAGTAATTATATTTACGGCACGTACACAATGCCGCGGGGATTTCCAGTTCATTTTCGTGAAGGGAACAAAGCTGTCTGGTGAACTTGAAACTGCGGTAGACAGACTCGTGAAAATTAATGACAGATGCAATTATCAGGAGGGATACGATGGTTGTTTAACACGTAGTTCTTCAATTCTCTGACTAAATGGCTACCAGATCCATGTTCCGTTGCCGGGTCCCACAGCTTCAATAAGTAGTGATGAAATGTTTGTCTGTGTTTGATTCGTGCGTTAACTTTCATAACTTGGTTCTCTGTAACGGACGCTGTCACGGTTTCTTAAATTGTCAACTGGGCGTGTACACATTTCTTCTGTATTTGCTCAAATAGGTTTCTAGAAGCCATTCATTTAGATTCATTATGTACGTTTTATTGGATGCGTTGCGTATACGATGCGTTCACTTTCACAGACACAAAAATGGACTCCATACGCAGGTTGCGTTCGGCCGTCAAATCGCTTCCTGAGCGAGTTTTGACAGGTGCGCAACGCGTGGCGGAAGTATAAACGCGCATATGGAAAGGTGCCTTGTTGTTCTCGTCAGTTTTACTAAAATGACAAAGGAAACATTAATGGACCGCGTAAGTTCCAATAATGTTACATTCAATGAAAGGGCGGAGCTGGGCCGGGATCTTATGGGCACACATGAGCAAAGGTATATGTAACATCTAGGTTTATTGGTAAAATTGAAGCTAAGATATCCTAATCAGTGCGGATGCCTAGCAATTTCAAAACGACTTCCCCTTCAGGGTTTTTTTTTTACTTACCAAACCATCGAATTATGGATAGTTTATGCAATGCAATGGAAGTGAAGCTATTGTCTTATAATTTATTAGGGAAGACGTGTTTAAAGCTGTCGTTTAAAGACACAATATGTGAGAAGTAATTTCTGTGTTCAAAATGTCTGCCACAGAAATTGGCTTCAAGAAAAAACTATTCTAGCAACTGTTGAGCTGGGTTGGGCGGAAGATCTGCATGGTTTTGGGTTGGATTTTGTCCTCTGCAGTAAACTGTAATTGTGTATTTATATCGGTTATCTTCTGACGATAATTGCTCAATTTGTTATTTTTTCGCGTAGGCGGCAAGAGCCGGGTTTTATGTTTATTATGGGCGTGTGTTCCGGACTTCGTACGGAGCGCATGGATATTTCTAGCTACTCGTTTAGCTTGCGATAACCATTATGTCGTTTTCTGCGCCGGTTAATATTGGACAGTTCTGGTTAGAAGTGGCGGGTTAATCAGTAAATAAAAATTCTGAGGACGTGGAGAGGGTCGAATCAAAAGTGCAACTGTTGAAATAGCTCACGCCTCCGCCCTGTGCGGTTCCATAATGGGATCTAGTTAACGATGAACGTAATGGCCGTAATATCGTCCACCGTTTGATACCCGAAGTATTTTGGTTTAAAAAGAAAAATTATAACGACAAACACTTCAAAAGGTGCGTGTTCACCTCAATTTGCAATTTACATGGAGTCGTCAGGCACAACGAAAGCAAAACTAAACTTGCAAAACCTAGTCTCTTTCGAATGGTCAGGCGTCCGTGCATACCGTACCGGTGCTAAACTATTTCGTAGGACGTCGTTAAAGTCTAGTCGAAACATAATTACAGCCTCCCTTTCGACTCAACTGTGTAAAAGCAGTCGCGGTGGAGCATGCTGAGAGAAGTTGGTGTTGCATTTCTGATTTCTCGTTAAGCAGAATGTAGTGGCATCTTTCTGGGCTCATAGCGGGACAATTTGGTGCCATGGGCGTTAATCGGTGGGGAGGGGGGGGACAAGTCCCCACTTTTCCAAACGGGGAGATACAATATCATTTCCCCCTACCACTTTTTTGCAAAACCTAAATGAAAATGTATACCTATTTGATCCTGTATTTCAGAAAAGCTCGTTAAATGGCTCCTGAACGAACAAAAAATAGATAAAAATAAAAACGAAAAATATGAAAAGTGTTATTAAAACTTTCCAAACCACCACGGTGCTTGTTGCAGTGGGGCGCCTTTTAAAGATGAGAACAGTGTTTGTTCATTTAAAAACAAAGGAAGGACGAACCCAATGGCCCCTAACATTATATATACACAGGGCCTACATATATAAAATCAAGAAGAAAGATTATGTGAAAAATTAAACAAATGTTACAAAAGCAGTTGTGTGGAAAACTGGCTAAAGTAGCCAGAAATTGCCTCAGATCACAGCACAGAGCACCAGTTCTATACTCCAACATTTTTTAGGGAACAACGTCTATCTCAAAACTATAGGTACGTTCGTTTTAAACAGGATGGTATTTTCGTTTACCATTCATTAGCATTTATTAGTCACTATATCAGTAGATACGTGAGATATGTTTCTTAAATTTTTACAATAATTGTGTTGTTTCTGTGACGGTCAGTCATACTTTGCCAACCAGTGGTTCATAAAAACTACAACTGTGACTTTTATTGCGAATGTAATATCTGTGCCGTCCCTGCGAGAGGTTTGTCATAATATTTCTGCCAACTAATTTTCCGGGTGAAAAATTGTGAATCCATTTTGCAGTGCCGCTGGCGTTGTATCTAATTTCTAGTGCCACAACGTTGGCAACAAGGGGGTCTGTTGCCAGACTTGATGCTGTTTTAGTACCAAGACGACATTGACCACGTGACTGCCTTTGCCCTTTCATTTGACCTTGACAGAATCGGGCGGATTCCACCCCTTCAATTTCCTATTTAGATATCGAGACACGTGACATATCATTCTATCCCAGGCCTGAGCCTCGTTTTAGTTGTGTATTGACTATGTTGTCTTAAAAGCACGTCAAGTCACCGATTTCACTAAAAAAGAAATTGTCCTCCGGTAATGTCAAACTTGTCAACTTGAAAGTTGTTCATGCCGAATGGAGCTGCTCATTTTCATAACTGCAGTGCCGATAGTATACTAATTGAATGGGCATAAACTTCAAACCAAATTCCTCGTTCTTTAAGACTCAATTAGGCCCGAAATACAGGGCTTCAAGATGACCAGCAAAGGCTCTCATGTAGTGAGAACGTTTTGGTGCTACGTTCAGTGTGTTCTTAAATTCTGACACTTCTTTAGCAAACTCTCATACTTACGAGCTTTTTATTTAGGCTGTTCGGTATATATCAAAAATTCACGAGATGTTTTTGGTAACAACCAACAGCTTTCATGAGGGAGTTGCGTCATCTCGGCAAAAACAAAACAGCTGTTTCATTTCTGCAAATATTTTTGTTTAAATTTCTGCAGTCAGATTACTTTACATTGACCGCTGTAATCAGTCATTGTCCAACAACGACTGTTTCAGGAATACTTATTTGAGCATTGGGCAAAGCACAGGGGGAAACTCACCCATTGGAATTTAATTCTCCGTTGTTACGATCAGACGAATTATGGCTACATTCATTGCTGTCCCGTCACAGGGTTTTCTGCAAAGAAAGAAACAACAGTCAAAATGGTTGCTGGGTGTGGCGCCAAAATTTCGAAGATGATCCTCTTCGTCTTCAACTTTTTGCTTTGGGTAAGTAATAGCCAAGGTATATTTACATGTACGTACCAAGACCCACTCCTCAGGTTTTTCTCTTCAGAGAGCGGGCCGCATGCGTTGGGTGAAATCCGGCACAACATCTAAACTTGTCCTGGTCCAATAAACCAAGAGCCGGTCTCCCCTTAGTTCGACGCTTCAACTGTAGAACCTTTGCGTGGTGGCCATCTTGCAGAGCAGTTCTGTTGTTCCACATGGCAACCTCCTTCAAGCATACCTTGCGGAACAAATGCACTGGCCTGCAAGATGGCAGCCATGTAAACCCTCTATTTTACGGCCAACATTGGCTATTTGTCATCGCTTCATCACGCTCTATTACAATGGCGTATCCTGTCCCCCCACCCCACCCTGTAGATAGCGTTCTTGTTTCACCAGCAAATTAGTCAAGTATAAACACACGAAGAAGTAACGTCTACCTGAAGTCCAAAGAGTTGTTTGACGAGCTTCCCTTTGTGTTATTTTTCAAGAAAAAAATATATATAACCCAGAAGATAAGAGAATGGAAATTGAGTTTGGAGAGAATTGGAACAGGTGCTGAAAGTTAGGGAATATCACTTTGTGTCATTTTGTTAAGACATAATTCGAATTCTAATACTTCAGCAATACATGAAATCGCACGGAGATGAAGCTGTGCGATTTGAAAAAATGGTGTCAGTCACTCCAATGGCTTTATTCCCGTGCACTCTTCTGCACAGCTCGTAGGTATCGTCTTGATAGGTCTGGGCGGCTTTGTGGTCGCCCGGCCTGGGACATACGGCAACTTCTTTGGCGATTCAACGAACCTGCTGAACGTAGCATCAGGGGTGGTCATAGCCGTGGGCTGCTTGGTATTCCTTGTTGCCTTTGCTGGATGTTGTGGTGCGATGAAGGAGAGCGCCTGCCTGCTCAAAATCGTGAGTACATTTTTTTTAACTACTACACTGTCACTGCTGCCGCTTCTTCTAAATGATCAGGTAATTTGCACCCCGTACATTTTCAATGGGCCACGCAAGATTTTTGTTGGCATGGCTCTTGGTGGCAATATATGCGCGTGCATATTTAATTATGAATGTATGGGTGGAAAGGTACATTTAACCCGTGTCCTCATGACACATGCGCAGTGAGAGATACCTTTTTCTGGTTAAGGATCTTGACACTTAAAAAGGGCAAAGTTAAACCTTTTGTCAAAAGATGTTAGAAAGCTTTAGTTTCAAACGTTTAGACGCCTGATTTATTCTTTATCGCTTCGTTTTACTCCACGTTTCTTCTGTCAGGCAGTGGTCTGAAGCTTCTCGTTGCCTTTACCTATAGGCCTACCTACAAGCTGGCAGTGTCATGGTGTTGGCACCTCGCTAATTTCACAGTTACAACTGAGCATGCCCAGAGCAAATCACGTCCGAGGTCATTCGGACGCGTGTGTGAGGTCTGTCCTATCAGCGCGGCCCAACATGAAATTGCGCGCGTGCTTTGTTCCCGAATGACCTTGCCTTTTTGAAATACCGAACTGCATGGGTTATTCCCCACGTGCGCTTGTCAGCAAAGGACGCGACATTTAAACGTCCGAACATCCAAAGGTATATGTTTTCATAATTCTTGGTGTTTTCTCCCACTTGTTTCGTTTTCAGTATATTGCCGTTGTGGTCGTGCTGGTGATCCTCGAGATTGTCGGAGGAATTTTGGCTCTTGTGTTCAGGGAAAACGTAAGTTAATTTTTTTTTTAAAAAGTAAAGTTCATCCAAATGAAGAGTGTTTTGTCAAATCTGCTCATTTCACCCACACTGACCGTCGCTGTGTAAGAAACGGGTAAGGAAACAGGATAAACAGAATGAAGAATGTTTAAGTTTGGGAGGTAGGCTCCCAGGCGTCATTTCAAAAGTCTGGACTCGCACTGAAGCCACCGGTGGCCATATCTTATCATGCCAAATACAAAGGTGATCATTGGGCCTGTTTGTTTAACACAGATCTCGATCCGTGATCCTGTAACGCTGGTTCGCACCATCATTCGGCGAGTTTTGGTGTCTGTAAACCAGTGACCCTTTGAGCTAGATCAGTGATCCTTAAGCTGGGTCGCACCATCCATTAGGCGAGTTTTGGTTGCCATAAACCAACGACAGATCACCGATCGTGATCCAGATCCGTGTGAAACAAACACGGCCTTTGGCTCGCGTGCCATCGTAATTAACAATTAAATTAATGGCGATGAAGCCTTGATATAAGCTTCATTATGTGGAACTGTAAGATGGCCCCGTTGGCTTCGATGATCGCTGTGTGCTGGGCCACGTTCAGTTGCACAGTAGTTAGCCTACGGGTGCATATACTACTAACAATAAAGGTATCGTACTATTAAACGTGCCTCTAGTTTGGGGCCTTGCAAAGCTATAGGCTTTTTTCATGACGTCCAGGGATATGCTACACCGTCGTGCATGAGTCTGGCTGAAAATATTCGCATTGGCAACAAAACCAGAGTACTAATGTCGAAACGTTTTATTCTGTTCTCATCACCAACACCTCGATTCCAGTTGTATTAGGCCTATAGACGAATCCGCTGACGTATGCATTGTGTTGGGTTTTGTGCGGAGTGACTTCTCATGGAAAAGTGGTTCCACACAATGGCTGTCACAATGCTTACCGCCATTCAAGGAGGCCGCTAAGAATAACCAATGATGGCATTGCCATGATCACCGGCATTGTCTATACCCAGACTTGTGTGGCCGTAAAACAGCGTTTCAAAATAGGACACTCTGAGACGCGTGGTGGCGGCAAACTCCAGTCCTACTTGAAGGGTCCACTACAGGGCAAGCATGACTGAGAGACGACCAACCGTTGACCGCTGGCCGAAATATATCCAGGGGTTGGCAGAGGGTCGTTTCTCGAACTTGCCCACACTTTGCGCCACCCCCGAGCTCGTTTGCGTCGCTCCAATCATGGAGCTGCCCATTTTTGATCCATATTCAACATTACGCAAGCAGTGCGTTTGTCGCCACCAATCGTATGGAAGGTCTACTATTTTCCGTCATTCGTAACAAATAAGCCATTTGCGACTTAAATTTGAATAAAATCTGGTGCTCTGCGTTATCTGACTGCACATAAACATAACGATTTGAATTCCCCAGACTAAAGACACTGATACTATACCTCCTGATTTGGGGCAAGCTTCCACAAAGCGACCACCACCTCTGGATTGGGCTGGTTCCTTTGTGCCCTTCTTATCCATTGAGAACAGTGTATTGTTGCAAGGCGTCTCTTATGTAACTAAGCAAGAGCTTGCCCGAATCACAAGGTATAGCAACAGTGGTTTTAGTATGGAGAATTCAAGTTGTCATGTTCACGTGAATTTAAAGAACTCAGTGTACCAGATTTGGGTCGGGATAAAGTTAACTCGCAAAAGGCTTGTTGTTATGTGATCCAAGTTGTCCTCTGGAAATATAATTGTTTTTGAACCTATGCAAATGTACCTGTTCGAAATGTATCTGTTTGTACGCTGTAAAAACGGGTCATTTTGTGTTTAAAACCCACAGATCGAGTCAACGCTGGCAGAAGTCCTAAGCGATCAAATGGCAACCTACGAAAAATACGACGCTAGCGCAAATAATCTTGTCGACACTGTTCAGAAGGCAAGTGATAACAATCCAGAACGTCATGCTTACACAAATTACGTTGCAAATTCAGACAAGGAGTTTCTCAATGGCACCGAAGTGTAAACAGCCGCGGGGAATCAATTGAAGTCTATAGTTGGGCCGGCCCAAGTATATTTGGGCCGGCCAACTATTTTGTCCCAGCTATAGTTTGGACTGTCCCAACTATTTTGTCCAAGCTATAGTTGGGACAGTCCCAACTACTTTGTCCAAGCTATAGTTTGGACTGTCCAAACTATTTTGTCCCAGCTATAGTTTGGACAGTCCAAACTATTTTGTCCCAGCTATAGTTTGGACTGTCCAAACTATTTTGTCCCAGCTATAGTTTGGACTGTCCAAACTATTTTGTCCCAGCTATAGTTTGGACAGTCCAAACTACTTTGTCCAAGCTATAGTTGGGACTGATGCTATACTTGGAGCATAACACAGCTCCTGGGGAAAGGTGTCCATTTTCATCCTGGATAAGATCTTTTGCTCGTCCCAACCGTCTTTAAAGGGCGCCGAAAGTTAGCAACAGGTAAACTTACAGCAACCGACGCTAATATTTGCCGCCCAAACCTTCGCTCGTCCTAGTGTCCTAAAAGACCTTGTTCACAGTGGGCTGGACGTGCGATACTAGTTTTGTTTCGACGCCTCAAATTCTTTCTTTCTTAAATATATCACAGGTTTTTTTTTTCATCGTAAATGAAATTAATCTGTTAATAGGGTAAATAGCCCTGATGGGGCACTGGTTATGATAAAGGAAAATGTATGATGTAGGCCTTTTTAATTGGGTAGAGGTTAAAATAGTGGTCATCAGTTTATGTAGCCTTGACACGTGCGCACATAATGTTGGCATACATAATCAACGACTTTCAGTCACAACTGCACGTCCGTAGCGCCTCGTGGCTCTTTTCAACCAATGAAGGGGTGCTTCTGCTAGAAGCGGATATGCCCTTTGTTTCACGTTCAGGAGGTGTCCCATAATTTAATTGGTATAGTATTTCTTCTGAACCGAATAAACTGGATAGTAAATGAACCTAACAGACAAGCGTGTTTTTAAGACCACTGCATTAACATGCAGTATACACAACTGAGCATTTTACTGATTGCATGTTTTTTGTGGTTCTGTGTTCCGACAGGGATTCAAGTGTTGTGGAAATTCCACTTACGAGTCCTGGCGAGGTAGCAAATTCCAGTTGATGAATCCTGGTAAATTCGTGCCTCTTTCTTGCTGCTTAGACGAAAAGGATACCACCTGCAACAATGGAAATGCATTGAATACTGATATCAACGATAAAGCTAAAATACACAATGGGGTATGGTGCATATCTTATTTTTCTGTGTGACGATTATGAATTACTTTTCACAATCTAGTTTTTAATGGCTTGGCTGGTGTTCTATTTTAATATGCTCAATGTGTGAAACAATTTTACCCCCCCCCCCACTCTGAACGTTTCAATGTTTTCACGGGCTGAAAAAGAGGATGTTACACCCCTCCTCGAAGATGAAAGGCATTCGGCTTCCATCGGGCATGACCACTCCCTGGCGTGCATGCGTCGAAGGCACATTATTTTGCCCCATCCCTGCTCGAAAAACGGACATTTTGACGAGACTGTCTTCAGCTAGGGTTCAAAAATAAAGAGCCAACATGTAAAAAACGAACCACGCCTAAATTGCCAAAAAAGTGGTCTTGCTCAGTGCACAGTGAGTTTGGACAGTGAATCGACATTGTGGTTCTTAGGATAAAAGAAGTTGCTCGTCAGTATTGCAAATACGCTCTCGCGAGGGGGACACGTTTGGGAACTCTATCGGGTTCGTAAGTGACCTCGTCATACATGCGCACGCACCACTGATTGCAAGCTTCCATTGGACGAGCCCTCCAGTTGTGCGTTTACTTCCGGTTTCATGGTTCCCGTGTAACTCTGTGTGCAGTTTAAACTAAAGAACACTTACAAACCGGACACAACATGACACTGACAAGAAGAAAAGTCTTACACGCGACTTTTATGACCATTTCACGCTGTCATGGTTCTTTCAAGATGGGTTGATTGTATTTTGAGGTCCGGTGTCAGACGTTCTTGGTCTCTGAGGCCCGTTGAATCTTGAAGACTACCCGTACATGTAACTTTTTATTTGTTTCGCAGGGCTGTACGTCACAGATAGTTCAGTTTGTCAAAGACAACTTCCTGATAATTGGAGCAGTCGCTCTTGGTATGGTTGCCGCTGAGGTAAGTTTCTGTTTCAAATGGTTTCATTTTATGCGTTGAGATCCAAGTACCGAACGCCAGGGTGATGGGAATGCCACCATTTTCATGCTGCATGACATTTTTTGTTTTGCACACTCACTGGGCAAATAAAAAGTTTTAAGCGAGAGGAAAAAAGCGGTATTAAAGTGACGCAAGAAGTTTTGAAACGGACGTACAATGTAGTAGGCAGATCCAGAACCAAATTTACAACAAAAGTGAACAATTGTTTCCTGGCCTTTTTGCGAGTTGAGGCTACATTTGGGACTTTGCACGTACTTCAGGAGGAGAAGACAGTAAAAATAGACCGGAAAATCGGTTCTCTCTACTTGCTTTTCATGAAACTTTTGCTTTCCTTGGGACAGGACATGGCTCTCGTTGAAAACCCCTCCCCACCTCAATGCTGCCAATGCGTCCTCCACGTTACAATTACAGCCCTTCGCGCGTAGTACCTTTTGCATTTGGTACAGGTGAAACAGTGCTATAGAGTACCGAAGTGACGTCACGCGGAAAGCGTGTGTGTAAAAGGCATTATCTTCAGGCAAACTTGAATTCTCTGTCCTTATTGGGAGTCGATCCATGGCAACATACAGCGTGATATATAAAACCATATTGCTTGGTTCATACTAAACCCCTTTGTAACGTGTTGCGCTATTTTTGCGCTAAAGCAAATGCACATCTGCATGACTGTAAATTCAAAAGGGGCGTATTTGCCTCTGCCGACCGTCGCATGTGTTTAAATGCACGTACAATTCTAACAACTTTTCTTAGTGTAAGCCCTGTTGTTGTTATTGTTTTTATTGAGATAAAGTTAATACAAATAATTCCCACGCTCCCTAGATTAAATTGCAGAATTGTGGTACATCGGTGCTACTGTTTTTGCTGTGCGCCGTATGATATCTTTTGTCTTCTTTTTAATGTAAAGCGCGCATAATCCTCTTTACTTTCGTTACTGTGCGTCAAGTTTGCTTGAAGAGGTGGAGGATTTTGAAGCAGAGTATGTGACATTTCAACAGGGAAGCTTCCACGAGGCGTGGAGACTAGCCTTTTTCTCAAGACTGGCAATAAAACCATTTCCCCATATGAAAGTAGTCATAGTATCCCAGGCCGCTGTGCACTTTTTAAAAAACGCTAGCTGACCTTACAGGGCGCTGGATGAGGCCGAACGTCCGTCTTCACTTGCGATTGGATTCCTAAAGGTACCAGAACCAATCCACTGTTTTAATCTCAAGCTGACGATCTGGTTGAGATATCACTGACAATGTCTTTTGTTGGCCACAGATCCTCGCGATGATATTTGCATGCTGTGTCATCTGTGGAATCAAGGACGACGACTACTCCTAATTAGAAGGTCTGCGATTGGTCGAATTTCACTGGCCACCAACAACCCGTCCAATCAAAACAGCTCATTAGCCTGTCATTCTAACCAGATGCCACTGTTTCTTACGGAAATGAATTTTTTGGTGAAGTGCCAAAAACTTGTTTCTGCACTGTTGCTGGACATCGGCTGTGTTCGGATTAATGGCTACGGCTGGACATAATGCATGCACATAATGGAAGCCGCGATGTAGCGGCTTCGTGCATTTTTAATAGGTGCACGTATTATTTCCCGCCGTGGCAAGTAAGTCGGACACCACCATATTTCTCCATTCCCATTTTCGACGGCCGACAAAACCTCATCAACAAATCAAGAAAACTGCATTGCGGTAACCAAATCATGCCGCTTTATCACTACTGCAAAACGCTCACCTTTTTTCACTGTGTTGATTAGCTTGACTGAAAAAAAAACCATTTCGGACTTGTCGACGGTGCTTATTTTAAACCAAGACTTTCATTTTGGCCGGGATATTCCCATTCCACCTTTAAAGAGAAATATGCAACATAGTAAGTGTCACCATTGATGGACACAAACTAGCACTGTAGCAGTACACGCTCCACTCTACGCATACTGAACGGCCATATTGTTTCCAAACTCTGGCGCCGACACTACTCTCTCTATGCATATATACAGCTCTGGCCAAACCACTGAGCCACGTCCATTAATCGTTAAGAGGTTCTCATATGGAATTCCGTTTGCCCCCAAAGAGTACATAGTCTGCCTTCGGTTTGTATGCGGCTCCATTTAATTTCCATCATGTCGCATTTGACCAGCATCTGAAATATGAGAAAAACTCAACACGTATCGTTCATCTGCATCTTCTTCAAACACAGAGTGTTCCATAATCATCCATGTTATATCACAATCATACAACAAATTCTTCTGAAACTAACACAGGTTCCAAAGGCAACCATTATCGGAGCCCCCAATCTATGCGCACGTACACGGCTAGCCTCCCCCATCAAAATAATGGTATCTTCCGATACACACAGCTTCCGGTTATGCTTGGACCGTTTTCCAATACGCGACTTGTGCTGCATCTCAGGCTTCAACTGTTTTTTTTTTTACTTCCTGACTTTGAGGTTGTAAGCGCAATAGTAAGTCTTATAATGCCACAAAACATCAAGTAAGATGCAAAAGAGCCAAACATTACAGTATGTCAATTTAAAAGTTAAACACTTCAGGCCCACAATCGAAGATTGGTTTTCTACACGAAGCCTGAGACGGAGACGAAGTTGAGTATTGGAAAACGGCCTTGGTTTCCATATCGACGTAAAAAAAAAGCAGAGAGCAACGCAATCAAGACGCAAACTGCAACGCGGACCAATGAAACATGTCAAACGGAAGTGTCGCCGATAACGCAAACCAACCCCAGACAGATCGGCAAAGTTGAGCCCGACCTACACAAACACGCACGCCGGCTCGACGGGCGTTCAACGATGTTTCTCTCGCTTAATACAACACTGTTACCCATTCGCCCATTTTCTCCTTATTGCTAACATGCATATGCAGCCCTAATCGTCAACAGAATAGCTGACCATTAACAAATTACATCAAACTTGAGAATCAGTTTGGCCTCAAGAGGCGACATCTCCACCTAAAAAACGCATTTTGAGCGAAAACTTGCCGAGTTTCGGACGCCATTTTGTTAATTTTTTTGGGTAGAATGACATCGCGCGCGCAGCGTCTCTTCTGCGACCGTCTGCGTCTTGACGTCTTGCGGACCTTCTGCGTTACAACCTACACGTATATGGGAACCAGGCTCAGGTTAACTCAACAAATCGATACGATGCGTTGCTGGCGCCTTGGAGGCTGTTCTTTTTTCTTTCGATTTCATTGCATGAAAGCACAAAAGGTTTACTAGAGCCTACCCTAATGGTAGTAAGCCCTTGGCCTCCAACTCCGCCTCAGTAAGGTATAACCTCTATTACACAACCTAAATGTCTCTTGGTAAGAATTGAGTCCTGAAAAATGCTCCAACTTTACCTCGATGTAAAAGCTGGATCTACGTACTTCCATCTTCCATGATCCTCTGGCATTTCTTGAATGTGTTACTTGGAAGGGGGTTATCACGGCCTCGGTGAATCAAAATCCTGCTGTATCAGATATCCTGCAGTGTAATCGGATGATTTCGAAGTGTGGGTGCATGGGCCACAGACATCGCATGGCCCAGCCTTGAAACCTTGACACAGCGCGTCCTTACCATTAAGCCGTGTCCGAAACGGGCTTCCAGGGCTACGGCTAGGTCTATTGTCTGCGCGTCTCCACGCATTTCCATTGGAGCCAGGATCTAGACCTAGCTCTAGACAGGAGATTCGGAGGCAGCCGAAGAAGTTTGTAAGGAAGGAGACCGATTTCCCAACGCCATTACTAAACTTGACGAGCGCGTGATTTTGGTTAGCAGGGCGCTCCCGGTGGCTGATGTGGAAGCATTCAATGTACATGTACAGTGCATGTACTCTACAGCTCTCTTGTTCACGAGCGTGGGGACACCAAGTATTATGGCTTGTCACTTAATCGGTCTATAGGAATACACGTAGTCTATGCCTTCTTCGATGTGGTCACACAGCTTTACCCGTTCGAAATACTTCAATAATGCAGGAACGATTTCAGTAGCTTAGGGTCTTTAGACCACTCTTCACTCGATCACCAGTGTCGCATTATACTAATCACTTCTCACCATCAATAAAAGTAGTGTATTGCACACTTTATCACCAGTTTTGCGAACAAGCATACACGACAAGCCACAAGCCTATCAACGAGTCCACAAGAATACGTACCCGACGATGAGTGGTCGCGCTTTCTGCTTTACCCAGCAAGAAATGAGACCGAGGGGTACCCCCCAACATGTCCAATTCCTATACACATTCAAGACTATTGTTACTTAACACATCCCCCCAAGATGTCTGAAAGGAATTCCCCAGATTCTTGCGAGACAATGACCAACACAAAGCAGGGGGGTCTCTCCGTCTCATACCTTGCTGCATATGCTTTCTGCACATAAATTGTCAAACAATCATTCCATGCTTGGATTGGATGAGACGCCAGTGCTGTAGTTGCACTGGATAGGCAGCTGTGCTCTGCAAATTGAAGCGACTGTGCATCCATCTTCGGCTATTCACTACAATGGCATTTTCCAAGTCACCGGCTTCAGCGCCGTGCAAGAATGTACATGTACTTAAGTGAATTGAATGGAATGAAGTTGGAGGCCAATGTGTTGAATATCCTAAGATGGCCGCGCGGTCACTTCAATTCACACATAGGTAGGTACTGCCGAGCTGCCTATCCAGTGTGTACAAATCAGTGAGTAGCACTCTACTCTCAGGGAATCTTAACCGTAAGTGTGTGCTGAACACCCTGTTTTTTGGTTCTCAGTGAGAGATTGATAATGCTCTTCCTTGTCTCTCGACTTCCCTTTTTTTTCAGATTCTAGCAATGATCTTCGCGTGTTGTGTCATCGCCGGCATCAACAACGGAGAGTACGAGTAGTTGGTGATCGCTGTCACTTTGCGAGCCTATATATCAGATTGATCTATACGTTTAAGATTCAATCCGAACCATGTAAACTTTCTATGGATTACAATCAATGAAAGATAACTTTTTATCTCGCCTTGGTTTCAAAACGTAAAATTGCTACATTCTTTTCTCTTCTTTTAGGAACTAAAGCCTGAAATACGTTTTTGTTTCATTCCAGCATAATCTGTAGTAATCTGCATGCAGATTGAGATACGTTTGAGCAAATGACAAACTGTTTTCTCCTCAAATTTGAGTTTGGATCTCCCTTTTTACCCTGCAAAATTGTTTTACATTCGAGTACCCAGTGGTGGGCGGCTGTGTGTTTGGTCAGTGTGAGCGCATGATGGCGCTGTTGATGTGGTGTGATCGTGAGCCCTTCATCTGCCCCCCCCCCCCCAAAAAAAACAAGCTCTGAAATTCTTGTAGTCTTTTGACTGAAATTTTTACGTGCAGTTTATAGACTTGGTGAGTTTTTTTTTTCTCTCCACAATGTGTGCTAGTTTACATTTTGAACTAAAAAATGCCTTAAATGAAATGCTTATGATGAAATTTCATGGAATATTCATTTGTGATGAAGCTTTCTTTTCGCGTAGACGCGTAATCAAGAAGCTCGTATTTTATACGTGAAGGTAACCGGCGGGAGTATAACTGATTAATATGCGCCATTCACAACACTGGGAAAATCCCATGTCACTCATTACATTGGCAAGGAAACGATGATGATATTCAACTTTGGCTGGACAAATAAGGCAAGTGGCGTGACTTTTCATACCAACGGTGCCCTTTAGTGCTGGATCAAAAGCGTTCGACGTACCTGAGTTTCTGTGGGCGCCACATCCTTAATATAATGACAAAATCCCGCCGTGTGCCAGTCACGTGCCCATTAAATAAAACTGCCGTATTGTATCGTATAATGTGAAGTATAATGCTGTTAATTTGCTTTCATCGAGTAAGATTTACAACTTTGACATAGAAATGGCCTCGCTTTCGTTTGAAGTTCGCTTGAGTAATGGCAGACTGTTAAGTGTAATGGTAGCTTGTATCTGTAATACCTATAGCGAGCCAGTTCGGTATTCAAACAGCGCATGCCCAAGAGAGGAGTATGTTCGGGGTCATTCGGGAACAGCAGCACGCGCGCGTGACTGTCTGCCCTATCGGGAGAGCCACTCGCATGTGCAATGTGTATTATTCCCGAAAGACCTTGACTTTTTAAAATAACGAACTGGCTCATTACAGCCTGTATGTATGGTTACATTGCGTGGCCGTGATTCGACGTCAGGGAACAAGTATCGTGCGATTTCCCTCCTAATAGTGGCTTCGCTCCCGTCGAAACCTTCGCCTCGGGGACTGAGAGAGCTTTGATAGGCTTGTAATATTCTAATTAAAATGAAAATATCTCTGTTTTTTTGGTCGAAGGCGTATGCGTTCGATGCTTGTCCAGCAAAAACATAACACGATCCACAATGGGGAGTGAAGCAGGGCGAAGCTGGAGACGAAATGAGGTCGACTTGGGGGGAAATCTAATGGATTTTGTCTTGATGTTTCTGTACATTAGGCCCACATTACAAAATGGTGGATAAACCACGAAGTCCCAAAATGAACGGGACACCGTGATAAATGATGCCAGTTATTTAATTTTAATATCAGTGGAATGTGTTACGAATGGTGAGAAATACACCAAATTATGTAGTGCAAATCGTATTGATTATGCATACGTAAAATTACGTACTAAATTTGAAAAAAAGTTTCAAAAACTAATTCTAGGAGTCAAGCAGTGATTTGAAAATGTATAAATTGTTGATTAATTGTATTTTCTAAAATAAGTTTTGACCAAATCCGGTTTTGGCAGAATACACTGTTTCTATCCTTCGCCATCTTTTAAAGTGTAGACAGAACAAAAGATGCATGTACAAAGCTAATTGGCCAAGTATCACCCGAAGTATGTCCATGTTTACCGTTTCTTGAAATGCCAAGTTGAGAGTATAGAGTCAATCAGGGCCGTTTTCCAATACTCAACTTCGTCTCCGTCTCAGACTTCCTGTAGGAAACCAATTCCCGATTGTGGGCCTGCCAAGCGTTTAAATTACATTGAAATACTGTAATGTTTGGCTCTTTTGCATCTTACTTGATCTTTTGTGGCACTATCAGACTTACTATTGCGCTTACAACCTCAAAATCAGGAGAAAGAAAAAAAAATAATTGAAGCTGAGTATTGGAAAACGGCCCAGCACTGAGTTTTATTTTATTAGGGCGCCATCTATTGTTGAAATGCGGCAAGAATTCACAACACAGGTGAATTTCACTTAAATCTGAAAACAAAAATGACACAAGTACATTGTTGCGTGCCGTACACATTTTCCGAAACTGTTCCGATTTCGATCCCACATTATCGATTCCTTATACATTTGCTGCTCATTATTAATCATGTATATATACATGAGCACAATTACAACATGGTTTATACATGGTTTAAAAATGGTTGAAAATGGTTTATAAGAGCGATCTGTGGAAGGCAGAACAATGCAATAACAAAAAAGAACATTCAGAACAAATTTTCAAGATGTTAATTATATATAATTCAGAACAAAACTGGCTATTCTAAATGCAAAAGAGTAAAAACCTGTGTTCCTTATGAAACCACTCAAGGAGTGAAAATGCGAGCAACTGAAAAGAGTGAGATTTCCGCTCTTTCAAGGATCCACAGGATTCAAGGGGACAACTCAAACAAGACTTTGGGAGAGATTTTAGATCCTTTAGAGTGGAATTCACTCTTTTTGAGTGCCTATTTTACCCTTTCTGGGTGGCTTTTATTTGGAACTTGCCTTTACGGAGGGTGATCTGAGTTTTTTCCAGTTCTTTTCTGCATTACAAGACTAGAGGACGTAGAAAACATGGCATGCTCCAACCCAGTCGAGCTAGGACAGTCTCTCACCAATAAGCTTTTTGTGATTCAATTTGAATAAAATCTGGTACACTGAGTTCTTTAAATTCACGTGAGCACAATTGGAATTCTCCATACTAAAGCCACTGTTGATATACTTCGTGATTCGGGGCAAGCTTTTCCTTAATTACATAAGAGACGCCTTGCAACAATACACTGTTCTCAATGGATACGAAGGGTACAAAGGAACCAGTCCATTCCAGAGATGGTGGTCGCTATGCAAAAGCTTGCCCCGAATCACGAGGTATAGCAACAGTGTCTTTAGTCTGGGGAATTCAAAGTGTTATGTTTATGTGCAATCAGATAACTCAGTTTACCAGATTTTGTTCAAATTTAACTCGCAAATAGCTTATTCCCCTCTAAAATTAATCCAGAAATTCTCAGTGGAACGCATTTCACGAGGTCATTATTTTGTACCCAGGTCTAATGAGAATTCGCTGGATCTACAGATTGGAGTTTTTACTAAACATCATTGCTAATTAAAAGACTGACTGAAGTCAAACCTTGTAGTAGCATATTAACAGCGTAATTAAGAAAAAAAAAGGAAAAACCATACCATGGTATGTTTTTGTTTCTTTTTTTGACGTTTGGGCGCAGATTCCTAAATCTAGCTTAATGTGAATGACAATTTTAAACACTGGGACTTTCAGCTTTATGAAGTAAGCAGTTCAAATCGTCTGGCGTTCCAAATAAATACAATTAAATTAGGGGGTTGATGGCGTGGTCACACAAATCCAGAGGGGGTCCTCCTTGCCCTAATCTTGTCATTTAATTAATAACTCTGGTTTGAATGATAATTGGACAAAGAGGTCTTACATCGCAAGTACTTCTCCCGGCTAATGCCACATTGAATGATCCCGCCTTGTGCGCCACCACTGCGTGCATGTGTTTCAGACTTCAGTGCACGAATGTCTATCAATCACAACCGGTCAGAATACCATGGGACGGGGGGGGGGCGAATGGACTGCTCTAAGATGTGTCTACTGCCCAAAACGTGGCGGTGCAATCTGGATAACATGATGCACTACCGTCGAGACAGCTCCGACTACGCACGTAGGCATTTTTTGAAATGTGCTATAACATACACGTACAATGTACACGAACTCTCCAATGAAGCATACTTGTGATGTATCCACCATAGGCGTCGCCAGGATTTTTCCTGGGGGGGAAGAAATTTCCAAGGAGGGGAGCAAAGCACTTAGCAATTAAGAACTGACAGGCAGTTCATAAAGGAAGGTCAGTTTTGAGGGACTTACTTTTATCTCCCAAGAGGTGGTGGTGGGTAATATTCACAACACCCCACAAGACCTCCAGATAGAATTCACGGAAATCACAAGCTAATCAAATGAACTGAAACAGAGGCGTTCCTTTATCATTGTTCACGTTGTTACGTGTGACTGATCTTGTCTGTGTCTCGCGTTCGTCTCGACTGCCCAGGCCCCAACCAATCAACTACTCCAACACAGAATGCAAACAACTTTCAAAATGGAAAAACAAAAAACCACAATAACTACAAGTCACGGCCTTTTTTTCCCCTTTCAAGGCAGCACACGCCCAAAGATTTAATTAAAAGGACTGTAACTATACAAAGAAAAAGTTAACAAAAGAAGATAACACACATGATATTAAATTACGGTTAAACTTGACACTTGAACGCGACTCTCAAGATTCTGCAAGGTAACCCCCCAAGGTTTTGCGTAAACTGCAAAGAATCTTGTTGGACTCGGCATAGTAAGGGTTAATTAAAAAACAAGAAATTTCACAAGTCCGACACATTGAGCTTTATTACCTGGAGCACGGCTGGTAACCGGGGGACAACGGCATGCACGCATGAAAAAAAACGGGCTTTACAATAAGAGAATGCACCACTGTCTTTGACTTTCTGTGTAAACCACGTCACTTGTCTTTAAGGAATCATTTCAGACACAGGCCTGGGATAGACTGTAGCACTTCTGTTAAAGGATAACCTAGGTTTCTCAGGTCCGCGATCGACTGTCAGACAACTGACAGTCATCGCGGAGAACGACGACTACTGCAGCTGTGAATCTGATCTGACTTTGCGATAATCAGTCTTAAATTCCTGCAACGCTTATCTTTGAACTGAAACAAGCCCCGTTCGTATCGGGAACAAATTCTGTTCAGCCGAGAACGACTAGGTAACGCTAGGTACTGCAGGACATAAATGCTAGGAGTGCTGGCCAAGCAAATACCCATTACAGAACAAAAGAACTGACACCAAAGATGGCTACCACGCCAAGCCTCTATTATGGACATGGCTATATTTTTTAAATGTAGATGACCCCTCCCCCAGGAATTTGCAAGGTTTAACTGTCCTGATTCTCTGGTTCAATTCTCAACTTGGTATACTTTTAAGACTTTACTTCTACTTTCAATCAAAAAAGTGTGAACTTTGAATTGAACAACTTGATGAACTGGAATATTTTTTTACGACCACAAGCACAAGCTGGGCGGGCCAAATTACAAAGCCGTTAAGAACATCATGTACGGAAGCGTACCAATATATTTCATTAATTTGGAATTATTCAGACTTCTTGAACTTGGTGCGGCAATTAGTTACTTATTTGTCTACATTTTTGGGGGGGGGGAACAATTTGTTAAAGAACGGGCACTTTGAGGGGCGTAAGAATAACGAGTAATTCACGAAGAGTTTGGTTACAAGTTGAAATCCCAGATAGGCTTCCAGTTTAGAAATTAGAAATGTGGTCCCTTCAAACACACTGTGCGCGCTGTGCCCAGCAAAGACATAATTCTCTCTCAGCAGTTTTCTGGTTTTTTTTTAAATCAAGTCTGGCGCCCAGACCATCCGATGTTGTTTTTACTGCCATTGGGATCAGCTAGTCAAAGCAGGGATTGTACGCCCAAATAGACGGGACCCCGGGTTGAGAAGTTGGCAGGACCTCAGACTTAAGGGCACTGCTTGAGGTGTACCATGGCCCGAAATTGGAGGCAAGGCACACAAAAAATGAAATAACTTGGAGGCGTATTTATAAGACAACATTAAGCATACTTCTGCCTTCTACAGTCTTGAATGATCACATATAGGCAGTCATGTATCCAGTGTTCATGTTGCATGGCAAACGATAAATGTACACCACTGACAGAATTAGAGCATTTCCTTGTCTCGTCAAGAGGTCTGTCTTGTGTTAACCCCGAGCCCCTGAGACATTCTTTGCTGTGCTAGGAACCTTCCGGACTTCACCTAGAATCTACCAAACTGACACTTGAATCGGATGGCATCATAGCCCTGCGCAAAATAACTACGGCAAGGCAGCTACAAGACTGAATTCATAGATTTCTGACAATAAACACCGAGATGCCATTTTGACAGATTTGGAAATGGTATATCGTTTTGTTTCTTTTGGAGAGAAAGAAAATGTCTGAAAACATTTCCCTTCCCGTGCCAGAGGAATTTGCAGGATTGAGGTAGGCAGAGCCCAGCCACGGTCAACTCTACCTGGGGCCTAAAGTGTCCCTGAGATGCAAAAGTTCTCCGCATTTGCCGTGGTTTCCTTCGAAGGGAAAGGGGTTTTGCAAAGCTCGGAAGGTTTCCCGGAAATGGGCAGAATTTTCAGTTTTCTTTTCAAGCAATGACGCTGTTAATCAGCAACCTGAAGCTCTGAGCACAGAAATAAGGACAAAAAAAAAGACAGGTAAGCAGACTGCCCCCTATAAAAACGGCACCTGAGCAGATAGGGTAACAGGTGCTTCCCCTCCCTCCATTCATCTGTGAAGCCCCCCCCAAGCCCTACCGCATGTGGTACTGAAGGGTTTGTTTCATCTGTGAGAGCTCTCCTTCAAAGTCCAGCTCTATTGTGAAGTCCAGATCTCGCTGCAGAAACAAACGAACAACAAGACGCAAAAAAGCGTCAGATTACCGGTGGGAGTCTCGGGGCAATGACCGCTTCGGTTCAACCACGGTTAAAGCAACCCCGCCCGGGTGATGGATGGTTTGCATTATCGAATTGGGTCGTTCGGAACCAGGCTCTGGGCGTGGTCTCAGTGCTGGTTGTCAGTAGCGAATTTTACTGAACAGTACCGAGGGTACGATTCAGGAGGTAATTGAACAGGAAGTCACTGGCTACCAGAATTGTTAACCAACAGCAATATGACGAGATTTTATACAACAGGTTAAATGCAAATCATGAGTATTCATATTGTTTTTGACCGGTACCCGGCACTCACGTTGTTTTTGATGTTTGGCTTCATGGACAGGACACCATTGATAGTCTCTCCCCGCTTCACCGTGATGTAATCATCAATGTAGAACACCGTCTGCTTCCAGTGAGTGTAGGGGGCGTCTGGTGCTGCAATGAGGACGCAAACAGCAGTCGGGTTGGGTTTTTCATTTGGGTTATGATTCCTCGAGGGTTGTAATTCTTCAACAGTTACACATCTAAATTGGGAACAATACGTAACTGGGAATAGTGACATCTGCACGGGGAATGGCTCACAGCTGGAGAATGTGTTTGACTGTGTCCAACTCAAGTGGCTGTGGCTGACAGTGATGCATACACCTATGGGATGTGGCTGCACTCCACTAACCACTGGCTGCCATAGACACGCACGTTATTTCAAGTCATAGCCACAACTTTTGGACACGGGGGGGTGGGGGGGGTTGTCCGAGGGAAAAAAGAGAAAGCAAAAGGCCAAACTTACAGGTGGAGAACCCGATCCGTTTATGGCACATGCTGAAGTCGATGTTGAAGTAGGTGACCAGGGCCTGGATGTAATCGTTACGCTGGACGGTCAGGCAGAAGTTGGATGTGAAGGTCAGGTCATCAATTGTCACGGTATACATATCGATCTCCTGCTCATCGAAAAGGCCAAGACAAACATAAGTCAGTTTCTGAAGATGTTTGTTTTTTGGGGGGGGGTTTAAATCTTTAAACCACACCCCATAAGTACCACTAAAACCTTATCATCTGTATTATCGCCCAGTTTCTTCACAATACAACAAAAGGTTTTGTAGAATTTGTAGGATTGAGGAAGGTATACTCTATAAACTGTCACATTAGATGGGGTTAAATTAACCATGTCAGGTTAAAGAGGAGATCTGAAATGAAAAACACTCCTCCAAACTACTCACTGACTGGAAAGACCTAATATATACAAATCTCAACAGTAACAGCACTGAGCACCTGACATGCCGATCCTGGCAGATCTTTCTATGGGGGATAAAAATACCGAGCTGAACATCACAGACAGTTTGAAGAGCAAAGAGGCTGACACTGGCTTCTTGTGCAGCGTATTATTTCGGAGGAATTGGGGGCAGGACAAAATCGCCAACGGGGTGAGGAGGAACGATTCTTACCTTGATGAGGAAGGTGTTAGTCACCCTCTGCTTGGGGTCCACCACGTCTACCAACGGCTCGCTGATAGCAATGTCCCTGATGCAGCTCATGTCAAAGCCATACACGTTGTCCCACCCTGACAGAACAAAACGGGAAATATCCCTCGTTGAAAAAAAAAAGGGGGGGACTTCTCCTTTTCTAGGAACAGGGAACAAAAAAAACAGCACGACGCACAAAGTCCGGACATCAAAACTTCTGAATGTTTAACCACATGCTGCTGGGTGCTTTTAAAAATGCAGTGCACACATACCGGTGATTTTCAGGAATCCAATTTTTCACCCCCCCCAAACTGGAGGATTGAGAAGGTTCCCCGGCAAAAATAGCCAAGGGGGGTTCAGGTTAACCCACCGAATGCACACAGTTTCCACTTTACTGTAGCGTCAGGCCAATCCCATGCCAGCTGTTCAGTGGCTGCAGCTCCCCCATTGGCACTGACGCACAAGAATCCACATCCGCAGCCAGATTTGGCACTTTTTCATATTTGACAAGACAATCTTGCCCTTCAACATAACCTCTGTCAGAAACACAGTTTCCAAACTCACAGTTAATCTTTTCGTCTTTGTACTGCCTATCCTCGATGGCTGTGATGTGAAGAGTCGCCCTGTCTGGAAATATTAACCCTCCTCTATTCTGCAATTCAAAAACGCCAAAAAAAGAAAAGAGGCTTGTCAAGAAAAGAAAATTCCACTCATAAAAAGCAAATAAAAAAATTCAATCCGAAAACACTAAGGCTACTTTGCAGTTTATAATAGACTAAAATTTTGTTGGATGTAACAAAGCCGTCCGCAAATGCAAGAGAGAAATTCTGTGTGTCTCTAAACACTCCAGGATGTTAGGTACTTTTCTCTGCTATAAGAAATAAGCAAAACAAAAACAAAAAAAAAAAACCCTAAAATTTTGTGCATATTCTGTTAAAAACTGGTCACCTGAATGCTGCACCAGTCGCTTAGCAAAAAACTGGAGGAGAGCCAGTCACGACCAATGCTTAGGGATGGCCTTTTGCCTGGTAACCCGTTTGCAGTATTTTCCCACACCTAGCAAGCTTCGGTGCTCTGGCACCAGTATAAAATTGAACCTCAGATGAGTAGCATCGTCACATGGTTACTGTGTGGAGTGTGCCCCCCCCCACTTACCAGCCACTTGTCTCGCGCGAATAGTACTGTGTTGAGCATGGACTCGTAGAAAAGGCAGTACCCCATCCACTCGCTGATGATGATGTCCACTTTCTCCACCGGCAGGGTCACCTCCTCCACCTTGCCTTTGATTAACGTGATCACTGGTGGAGAGGGAAAAAAAATCACGGAATTCAGCATTCCGATCTTTCCGGATCCACAAAACCTCTCGGTCATTTTTCAATGGATTGGAAGGGAGCGGGGGAGAGCTTGGCGGTCAGATTATTTCAAGAGGAGAAAAACCGTGAGGGGGTCCTTTTGACAGCCACTTACCGTCTTCCATTTTGTTCGCTTTGACGATCTTCATGGCGTGGTCAATGATGTTGGAGCACTCAATCTGAAATTGCGGACGCATCACAATGTGAGAAAACAAGAAGCTCAACCAGCTATGACAGATTTTCAAAATGGAATAACCCTAATCACCCCAACCCAGATAATAACTGTTAACTTCAGCGTCCTGCTTGTAATTAAAACTTCTAGGTCCCTGGTCTGAACGTTCTTCGTTTTCCTTTCTCAGTAAACGAGGTCCCTGTTTTAATGAGGTGATTTGTAAACTCAAGAGGACCTTGTGATGGGACTTGACTGTACCCTGAACGGGTAGGATAAGTTCTATGTACACATTAGCGCATTACAAGTCAACCAGAGAAGGGCCGATCGTCAAGACTTGCTTCCCCGACAGGGTAGGCATACTTACCCCTATGACCTGTGCCGCGCCGGCCTTGACGGCAAACATGGAGAGGATCCCCGTCCCGCACCCCACGTCCAGCACCGTCTTGCCCTTGAAGAGGTGCTTATTGTGCCACATGGCATTGCGGTAGGTCAAGGTTCGCACCTCGTCTTTCAGCATCTCCTACAGATGGGATGGAGGTTAGGCCAACTCAACTCTTTTCAAGGAAGTAATGTACACCCCCCCACCTTCGAAGATGACGCAGATCGGAGGAGTTTGTTTTGACTGAGAGCCTGGAGCCCACACGAAGCTTGAACACTCCATTATAAACTTGGTTGTGGGCATGCTCTGTGCCTACACGCTCAAAAAAAGGTATACGCATACAGACCAAAGAGTCATCGCTGCTATCTCACAATGTACCAGCTCTGGTTTACGGCCAATCTAGCCAACAAAACACACCGGAACTTTCAAGGGGCAAAAAAGAAACCAGTAAGGACAGGCACATGTACTGTGGATGTTCTTGGTTCGATTCCGGGAGGGATTTTTTTTTTCTTGATTTCCGCTCATTTTTCAGGTTCTTTCTTGTTGCAAGAAATAAATTCAAGTCCTGAAGTATATTTCACTGTGAAGGGAAAAAAACTCACTCCAACCCATTCTGAAGCAGGTAATACCATAATTGATTTCAGCCCAGTGCTGAATAAGGTCATTTCTCTGTGAAAGCCTTGTTTGTTACCGGCGGTGAGAGTAATTATGAGAAAGATTTACACAACAGCACCGAGGGTTGAGAATTATTGGACCCACCTCGTGGATTCCAAAGTGGGCGTATGAGTCAAAGTAGTAATCTTTGGACGTCATCTCCTCCAGCTTCGGCTTCTTCTCCGTGTGCCCTTCCGTGTCCCCTTCCGTCCCCCCGTTCACCAGGGGTTTTAGCCCAGGCTCCGGCTTGACTATAACCTGACTCGAAACGCTTGCCATATCGGACATCTGTGCCTGTGATGTTGGACCAAAGACACCAGCTGAGTATGGACGCAAAGGTGGTTCATGGCTCGACTAGGACTGTAATGCTTACCCGTCTCTCCCCAGGGCAAGAATAACCCTAACCCTACTCATAATCCTCCAAAATCCTTTGGGTGATTTTGGAGGATATTGGAGCACTGAAATTTGGGGGGTGAAAAGTTGGATTCTCCCTCAATCCTCCAAATTTCTTGAAAATGTTACTTGGAGGTGTGCCTACTGCCACAATCCTTCAAAATCCTCCCGGCATTTCCTGTCATTATGTTGAGGCAGTGCGAATGGCATTCTCGAGCAGTGCGGTTGATTCAAAAGAAATGTCAGGCTAAATTTATGCAAAAAGGCCCTCGTGGGTTAGGGTTAATAAATGGCAAAGCGGACACTATGCTTGGACGGGAGGCCAAGAATACAGACTTGGCCACACGCGGACCATTACGCTAGCCTAGTATGCCTAGCCATTTGGAGAACCACTTGGAGAACTCGAAGGGAGTTCTCGAAGTATGGCAGCAAAGGCTTACTTTGATTTTCTGCAGTGCCTTCCATGTGCAAGGAGTATCACGGAGTTAGTGATTTCGCGTTCTCGAAGCAACCCCGAGTGCCACAGCCACGCATGACAGCCAGCTTATGGCCGCGCCACATGCACATTGCACCTGTACATAGCTACGTGCGAAAACCACTGGAGTTCGCACGTGACAAACGCACAGAAAAGAACGCGGGCCTGCTGCATGCATGCTGCCAGCGCTGGTCTCGTTCAGAGCTTCGCTGTCGGCGCTAGTCAGAACTTCACGTGATGAAAAACGACCAAAAATTGATTTCAATATTATCTACAATATCATGCATAAAAGATTAAGTCTAGCAACTGGAAACTTGATTGCAAAGAAAGAGCCTAATCAGCCTCTTTACCTCCATCGTCTCAGCCATGCTGGGCAAAATGCTTTCTTCTCGTACCGTTTGTGTACACGTCATTGAAAACTGTACTCACAACTAATGCATATTCAAAACTCTTGTTATCACGCAAGAAATTCCTGTTAGCGGTCTAAGAAAGGAGAGAAGTCCACTGGGATTATTCAGAATTTCTAACTCAGTCGAAGCATGGAGCCATGGTCGAAGTCTCCATTTTCCTGATAACGGAGAAATCTTCTAAAACTTTCAGCTACATTTTTACTTATTTTTTTCTGAGACAAGACAGCATTTCCAATGTGTCGGAATTATCTCATCTTCTGATTAATTGTTTTATTTGTTTGTACTTGCAGCAACATTTATTTATCCGAGAAGAGCAGAAGAGGGCGTGTTCAGTTTTTGGCACAACCAATTCCTTACACTGAGTATGCATAACGAATTTATTCCTTAATGTATGGTCTCTGCGTACGTGCAGAATACGTGCAAGATAAGAACCCGCTTGGAAAATTTACTGCCATCTCTCTTTCTTTTGCCTCTTGGGGGTGCCCTTCAACTCGGGGTGGATATCCAGCCATAGAGGGAAAGATACAAATATGTCAATAAAAACAAACAACATTTCTAATGAAGCAGCAGTAAACTTATATTCAACCAGGTGCAGTTCTAGGGGGTCTCGAGCAGCTTTCACCCTGCCCCCCCCCAAAAAAAACCAAATAAAGAAATATTTTAAAAAGTTAAAAAATAATGGATTCACAGTGGCCAAGGTTAAAAGGTAGCATCACGCGTACGAAGGCGTCTGGCCCCTCTCAAAAATATTGGCTCTAAAACAGCCCCGGCATTCAAACCCCTTTTATTAAAAAAAATGAGATATGCAGAAACAAACACTCTTATTGAGAACAAAATTTATACGAAGATCTTATGCATAAAAAATTGAAGTACCATTCTTTCGTTTCAGTCTGTTTAACCACTGCAGTTTTCGAAGAAACCAACTAAAATATTTCTAGTGCCGCGAAAGTGTCGTCATCGGTTCTTGTGTATAAATTTGCATATAACCACAAAGTGCCCCCTCTTCTTCGGAAGGTGACTGTGGACGATCGCGAGCAGGACAGACACAATCGTCGTTTTAGCAGCCTTTGTCGTTTGTTGTCTTATAAGCGGTAAGTACGAATGTGGAATACGTTTTTCTTGGATAGAGAAAGGGGAATGTTGGTAACAAGCGGGATATGTCAGCATAATTACAACTCGCCGCCGAACGAACCGACAGCTCAGGCCATCAGCGAACTGCATGCTGTACGTACGGTACACATTTTATATACGAAGAGTGATTGGAAGAAGGGCGCCCTCTTTCGACTATTGATTGTGCCCCGCATTAATTACTTAAATTTTGTCTTAGATTTATTTTAGGCCTAAGACTGTTTTCATAAATCGTCAAGCACAACAAGAAAGAAGTGTCCAAAAATCCGACTGGAACATTATGATAGGTATGTTGGGCACAATCTTGAACATGTTGAACCTTGCTTAAATTTATGGTGCGTACATGATCTAGGCCCTGCTCCTTCATGTTATTTCTGAGTTTCTGAGTTGATAATGAAAGTATAGTCATCACCATGGAGCTATAAAAAAGTTTAGCTCCATGTTATCGCGCGAGTAATACTAGAGTGGAACACAGAATATGGGACACAGATGCACTACATTTGCCTCGTACACAGGACACAGACACACATCATTCTGTGTTCCATGAGTGTTACCATGATAAACAAGCAAACTTGATGCGCAGTAAACATAAGGGCCCTATGCGCACCACCTTTGAATTTGATGTAACTTTCGCAGTTGTGAGTTTCGCCTTTAGCGTAAAAATGGCCCAGTGCATTGAGTTAGAATAGCACATTTCACAGGGTTTGATTTGAACCGAGCAATACACTTCATATATCACACTGTTTGTTGCCATGGTTTGACCAGTCAGAACCAAAGATCAGAAAGCGCCGAAGGCGCGAAATGGATAACTCTGCCCAAAAGGTGTAATTATCATGGGCGCCATTTGAGCAAGCGATACGCCTGCGCAGTTTACGGTAATGCTTAGGCGCAGGCGCACCAGGTGTACATGTACGTGCCTACCACGGCGCCTGCACCTGTGCATGGTATGTCTTTCTGATGGCTTACATAAACCACTTCAAGGGAAAATAAGTGAGGTCCATCTATGGATCTCTTACCCTCAGCTTTCAGACTAGTCTCGTAGTCCAAATCTAATACATACTGAAACTGTCCAGTGATGTCCATATTGAACTCATCCCACATCCTTGACTGTGTGTGGTAATGTAAGTCTCTAGGTCCCTATTTTCACAGCCTGTTGTGAAGTCTGGCAGGGTTTCAGGTGAAGTTAGGGACTTGGCGACTATTTTTATTCACAAAGGTTAGACCTGCTGGCAAGACAGTTAGTGCAGCTCGGACAATGACGGAGTATGCAGGATAGTCGAAATACCTTATCATCGCTAATCCTTTTGAGCTTGGAGGGGTTGAACAAGGGGTCCGTATTTTTTTGGGGGGAGGGTTACGGTACATGTACCATGTGCAATGGTGGGGTGCGGGGCCTACTTTCCTGGTCTGTTGCCAGTATAGACCAATCCACCCCTTCAACCTGTACCCTCGTGATCGTTGGCAGCTCACTCTTTGATTCACCAGTAAAGCTTCTCTTAACAAATTCCCAAATTCTCCAATTTCAGTGTGATAATGTACATGCACCCCCTAAGGGGTCAGGGTTAAAGGTCATTTCTTCTAAATGCCGATATGAACCTAATGTGACATTTGTGAAATGTTAGCTTGCTGTCACAGTGTTGTCACAAAGTTGCCTTTTCGTTTGGAAGATTGTGCTGGCTTCAATCTGTGCCTTCATAAACTGTGACATACAGTACACATGTATGTACTTGTGTGTTGTTCTTTCAAAGTGACATCCATATAGAAATTCGGATGATAGACGATTTAAAGTCAAATCCAATTGCTCGGTTTTGTTTTGTGTTCAAAAATGGGCATTGAACTCTGAACAAAGCACAAAAACTCGGGCCGTCAAAACTTCTGGGTGGATATTGATGTCGGTAAATTACTCAGTCAACAGAATCCATTTTTCCTTCCCTTTCCATCTTCATTTTTTTTTTACTGAATTATTAAATTTAATTTTTTCAGCATATTTTTGTTTACTTTTTGGAGTAGATGGCATCAGTAGAATTGGGTCCTACCAGGGCCCTACTTGACAAAAAATTTTTAAATCTTGTCTAAAGCTTAGTTCAGGAACATGAAGATTTGTAGCACTGATCGACTAAAACAAGTCTAATGCCTAAAGATAAATTGCGTGAAAAGGTTGGAATGTGGCCATGTCGAGGGGCAGCCTAGACTTGTCCTAGTCTAACAGTCCTGTCCCACAGTATGGGAGACATGTATCGATACCATGCATAATGCACAACGGAGGCTCTGAGCAGCAAATGTTTTCGTCCAGGATTTTCTCTTAAAGGCAGAGTGATACTTTGGTAATCCCCCTGGAAAAAAATTGTGCAATTTGTATCCGAAAGCATAACTGGTTTTAAAGATGGTAATAGTAGTAAGCACCCTGTGAAATTATTTCGTCTGCAATGTCCAGTCGATTAGAAATCAATAACAGTACAGTGTATGTCAAAAAATTTGAATCTCCAAAAGTGGCCTGTTTTGGTGGAAAATACCGTGTCAGTTTTTTACTGTTTTCTCCAGAAGTAGGAACTGTGTGGAACTGAAACTTTCACACGTGATTTGAATTTTATCTTTTTTGATAATTTTGCCTATCAATCAGCATTCCTTTGACAAACACCAACCTTTGACCCTGCTCACTACACGGTTGGTCATAAGACAGAAAAATGCACCAATGTTTAGAGTTTTTCATACTTTTGCTTCCCAACCACATTCCTACGTGGTTGGGACTTGAACAAGTCTAGGGTTGAACAAAATTCAATGCGCGGGATGTTTTGTTTAAATTATTGAAATGACTTTCACGGGTGTCACTCACCACAGTCATCTTAATGGTATTTGTCTGGCACAATGTACAGTCTCTGCTGTTAGTGACTTATGGTATTCCAACTACACACTTTCACTTTGTAAATTCTCGTGCGCTCTTCTGTTTGTATGCATTACAGGAATAAGAAATGTCCGTGTTTTCCTGCATGTGTGAGCCACATTTTTCTGTCCGTTTGCAACTCAGCAAAGTTAAGGAGCTTAGTGTCATAATGAGAAATACCGTGTACATTTGAATTCTTATAATATTCCGGCTTCATGCTGTGAACAGCTCTTACATGCGCTGTGAAAGATTTGCCGTGCGTGCATCACATTGCCCTGATGACCATTTTGGCTTGCAAAATTGGTCTCACTTGTTCAACCAATAATTCATGAAAAAAAAAGACATTTTTCACGTGGCAGCCTTAATGGATAAGGAATGTGGTTTAACAGAATATTTACAACGATACAGAATTTATGACAACATCATTAAATCTATTTAGGCCTACAATGTACATGTAAAACAAAAATCATATGCCTTAAAATTTAAACCTTTTTTTCCGTAGTGTTTACTTTTTAAAGTTACACTCAACCGAAAGGCATCACCTGAACACTTACGGTGTCAAAGTCTTGCAACCTACAAGTACACTATGTAGTTCTGAATATGTCCCCCATTCAATGATACATGTACATAATTGGCTTTTTGCTTGGGGGATTTGTCCCATATTCCTCCCCTCTCCTCGGCATGTTTAAGCTCTCTGCTGCAGGACCACTGCCACAAATGTACAATGACGAATGACCCCGGGGCAAGAATGTTGATGAAGCACTGGACATAATTTGTCAGAGGAAATCTACCAGACACGTAGATGGGCCTGCAAAGACATTGACGAGATGTGCATGATGAATGGGTACACGCTGTTTGCAGTTTCCTCCAACTGTTTCATGGGAAAGGGACTATTGGCCGAGGAATGTCGTGATCATACGTGAACATGTGGATTGTTCTTTAGTCGGACTACTGGAAGCAACTATCCGCCTTGATCCTGCTGTAGCTGCCCATCAGTATGGACTAATCGAAACCTTGAGATTTAGAGAAATCATCCGATTGTTCTGGTTAAAGAATCTGTACATTTTTACATTGAAGCTATCTTCAAATTTAACAGCCAATGAGAACATTTTTAAAACCGGCCTGATGAGAATTAATTTGATTTTGCCTGCCCTTGGCACTGGTACACGTAGAATAGAGTTCTGTCGACTTGAGTCATGTTCATTTTTAAGATACATGTACAACGTACATGTACTGTGGTCACATGTTTTTGTTTCAGATCTGTCAGAGCAATAATTCAGGATGTAATGAGAGTTTTCTTGACCGGTGGAACGAGGGATGAAGGCAAAATGGAAACTTAGGACGGTGAAATTGAAAGTAAACAAGGAAATAAAAACAAGAATTGAAACTTGCGTGGTGATATGAATTGTACAGAAAAATGTAGCCACAGAAAATGCAACAAAGGGGCCCACCCCAAGCAGGAACTCTTCTTGTGAAGCAAATCGCTGACCCCCCGTTCAACCCTTTCAGCTTTTCCACAATTTCAGGTTTCAGCCTTTCCCCGAACTCCACACCCCATGACTAATTTCTGGTAATATTAACATAAACTGGCATTCGTGGAGGTGGACACAATCCTAGTGCAGCGTGCGCATGCTGACATGTGCACTGCAGGCATCACGGCCGGCTGGATTGCATGCATGTTCACGTAAAATGGTTTGGACATCTTGAAATCTCGCAGGTCACATTCCTGGAAGGCAAGGACAAGGTGGAGCATTCTGCCGCGGTGCCTTCACATTTCACGCTCGGGATGATAGGACGTAAAATGCAAGGTTTACGTAGCACTGGTGACTCGAAACTGCTCCAAGCAATCGTACATGTACAAGATACGATACCGCACGTGATTCACCAATTTACTTGTGAATATGCCTCAAGCATATCTGTCCGTCTGTGTACATGGGCACGCATGCACTGTACAATTAATTTCAAATATTTTTAGAAACACTTTACATTTGTTTATGAGATGCAGGATGTGTCTCATGATCCTGGTCACCGGTTACTCTCAATATAAACAGAAAGGGAGTCCCTTCCTTTACATTAATTACACTCTGCGCATGTAGGGTACATGAAAGTGTTACAGTGTAGAATTTTACGTGTTTGTATACATTGTGGTTTGCTTGTTTTGGTAGAGTGACATGCTTACACTTCAAGATGCAAATATTTAGTGTATGCATCATTGTGTTGCACATGGGAATTGTGCTTCCATTTTTGGGGGAGTTGTTTTGTATCGAGCTCATTTTTTACTTTGTCTTGGTCCACAAACTTGTACATGTAGCTATGTGATATGTCATTATTAACCAGTGCACAATTCTGAAGTTGCTCATTAGGATAGCTGGGAATATTCAAAGTGCAGTGAACTTGAAGCATTTCTTGGAAGAATGAGTTTCATTGCGTTGTTCTGCTGGAGAATGATCAGTGATTAGAAGTGCACATGTATTGGTGCCAATCCAAGCAGACTCTCTCTTGTGAGGTTTCCAGCCTTTGAAGGAGAGCATTCGAAAACCTCTAGCACCAGTTGAGCAGGTGAATTTATTGGAGATTCAGTTTTCCGTTTCACACATGCAGTGCGAAAGAAAACATGGCCAGAATTGTGGATGCGTGGCTTTGCAAGACCTTTAAATGCCTGGGCTATCTTGGAATGTTCCCTGCAGGGAGACTTGAACCAGTGCATGAAGGCATCCACCTAGCTTCAGGTCAGCTGAGGTCGTCGCCATGGGATCGCCGTACGATAAAGAGCCCTGCTGTGGTATCTCGCTGCTCAAGTACATCTTGTTCATCTTCAACTTTTTTCTCCTGGTGAGGCAGTCGGTCCGCGACCAAAATCTGCTACTTACAAGAAAGGAATCAGGGGGGATGTTAAAATTAAAACAGTAATGAGCAAATCTGCTAGCTTTGATAAGAAACGTGCGGTATTACAAAAGTCGAAAGTTTGTCCGTTGCAGAACATTCTCAAAGACACAAGGCAGAATATTGACTAATCTCGTGAACAAAATTTGAAGCCATTTCTACGGCGTTGCAAATTTCTTGGGCAGGCGGTACATGCGTGTTGGAATAACCTTACCTTTCCGACCAAAATGGTGCTCTGCCTTGCCCACACGTACCTGTGGGCCTTTAAGACACGCACGTGAGCTTTGCACTGCCAATAAGCCTGGTGTCGTGCCTGCCTCTCTCTTGGTCACCAGTGAGGGCACACTTGTTCACGGCTTCCAAAACAAGCCGGTGCCCTCCTTGACATCTGCCGATTCAAGTAATCTAATCCCAATTGTCCCTGTGGCATCTCGCAGCTAGGGGGCGCCGGAGTGACGGGCATTGGGCTCTGGACCCTACTCAAGAAGTGGGACTACGCCAGCCTGCTCTGCGACGATCTCTACACCATTGCCACCTGGGTGCTGATCATCGTGGGCGGGATTGTAATCATCATCGCAGCGCTGGGCTGCTTCGGTGCCCAACAAGAGCAGAAATGCTGCCTGCTGATTGTAAGTCAGTGGCAGACATAACTACACCTGAAGAAAAAAGAATGTTACACTTCTCTAAGCTTGGGAACTTCAGGGCCTGTTTGTATTCAAAACATATCATATGACTGCAGAATATAGAGTACATTTGATGTCACTTAACATCTGGAGAAAAATGTGCCAAGTTGAGATACGCTAGAATCATTCAAATTAACACCACTGCGTGTAATTTACCTTTTCACCACAAATTCACCCTGACATTGGGCTTCCAACAAACAAGAACCAACCTTTTCAAAAGTTCCAAAACTGTATACCATGGCAAACTTTACTCCCCTCCTTGCCACATGGATCTTTTAAATCGTTGAGTTATCAGCAAGGGTACCCATCTGGTGCCCCTGTATGTACACTTTCTTCGTTTGTTTAACCCCTCAGTACTTTACACTTCTGCTACTGCTGTGCCTAGGGGAGCTTCTGGTCGGCATCTATACTTACATCTACAGAGATCGGGTAAGTGTTTCCCTCGGTTTAACTGTTGCTATGTTTAAACAAGACCCAGCCCATTCTGAAGGGAGGGGAAGCTTGGAGCCGGAGGAGATGTATTTTCTGGTTCTTTCTAACTCTTCGTTAACCGGTACGCAGGTTAACATGGAGCTGGAGCGGTGCCTCAACAGCACGCTGGTGGCCAACTACGGCATGCCTGACCAAGAGGATTACTCCAAGGGTGTTGACAACCTACAGAGAAAGGTAAACGCCGTGTCCAAAATGGATCGCGGGGACTTGCTGAACATACAGGGGTCACGTCATTTTTAAGTCCTGTTCCCATTGAAATCTTGTTTCTTTTTTTATAAAAGTACTGCAAGTGAACGGAAGAACTGCAAAATTAAGCGCAATCAGAATGTACTGAGAACTGGCATCCCTGTTAGTTTTAAATGGCACTTACGGTAATCTTAGCAGGCCAAAAGTGAGGTGGTGCTGTGCACATTTCCATCCAGGCCGTTTTGCCTTTAGCATCATAAATATTATTGTTTGTTTAATCGAAGTGATGCGAAACACGACCAATTCTTTCGCTGGAAAAAAGGGTTTTGGTATCTGTCAAGAAAATGAAGAAATTTCAGTCTCGGATGTTTTACTTGAAGGAAGGATAAGAGGGAGTTGCCGTTAGTTTCCACAAGGGCACGGAAGGGAAAGCCTAACGGGAACCTATCAGAGACACTTGCTGTTGACAGACGGCTTCAGTTCCATTGTGCATGTCGATATCCGTTCATCATTTTATTGCACAAATGTCAACCACTACATGTACCGCTTTTGCCATGTACAGTTTTACTGCTGTGGTGCGTCTGGCTATGCAGACTACCAGCAAAGCCTGTGGAAAGTAAAAGGGAAAGCTGGTAACCTGAGCTCGCCAGACAGCTGCTGCAAAACGGAGAGCAGCTACTGTGCCGTCCGGGACCATCCTTCCAACATCTACCATTTGGTAGGTCTGCAGGTTTTTAGTGGACATCATTGGTGCAGTGTGTGTGGGTTGATGGGTTTTGTTGATTAGTTGACGTGTGGCTTCTGCTGATTTTGTTGATTCCACAGGGCTGCGTGGATGGGCTGACCATCTTTCGGCGGACACGTGGCCATTAATGGTGCAGTGTACATGAGTTGATAACATCTTGATTAGTTGATGAGTGGATTCTATTGTTTCTTGATTCCACAGGGTTGCGTGGATGGGCTGACCAACTACTTCAGTGGACACCTTGCTATCATCGGTGCGGTGTGCATGGCGATCGCAGGCGTGCAGGTAGGATTGCATTTCATGTTGCCCGATTTGGAGGATGATCGAGCCTTCCACTGACCACCTTCGTGGGGCTCAGTTCACAGAACTGCTCAGGGCAGATTTGTGTTAAGCACTGGAAAGATTCACTAAGTCAAAACAAATTACCAACATAATATTTGATGTACATGTACCGTTTGTGTGACTGGTACTGTGCCGATTATTTCCAGGGTTCATTTCACAGAGCTCCTTAGCAGAAATTTGTGTCTAATATTGAAAAAATTTGCTTAGTCCAAGCAGGTTACCAACTAAAATAACATTCGATGTGCATTATGTGTGGCTGGTTCTCTGCTGATTATTTGCTGGGCATATAACTTTACTACTAGTCTTTTTTTAAATAGTAGTTTCATTTTTGTTTCAACGATGAATGTCTAAAAATCTCCGATCTCAAGATGAGACCAAGAGGGTGATGTGACTTGGAGATTTGGAAAAAGGGCTCAAAGTATTGGGTCTCATTCACTGGTTTTCTGCATTTCCTTGTTTATTTTTCGGACAGATATTTGGGCTGGTCTTCTCCATGTGTCTGTATTGTCATCTGAGATATGAAGAACAAGAGCCGTATTAACCTGCAACGAAACGAGAATGAATCTTCAGGGGTGGGTCAGCGACAATAGTCAGTCACATTTCTTGTTCTCACTCCCCGACACTTGACCTGTCTTCTGCAGAAATGCTAGAAGATTCGGATATTGTTGGCGTAAACTTGCAGTCAGTTTGGGGGAAATGAAGGTAGACATTGCGTTGTATTGGCCAGTCCATTGTTTTGGTAAGCATATTGGCATTGTAAAGTTTTCACGGTGAAGAGTGTTTGGAGATATGTGAATGTAGAATTTGTATTCGTGCGGTGTTGTAAGACGTAGGCTTGAATTAAGCCACAAAACCAGTGTGCACAGGAGGACGAGTCATGGACATGGCAGCATTCGTGTTTGGTAATCGCGCTTGTTTCTCCTAAACAAAGTTTTCAAATCTCAAATAAGGTTTTAGCAACAGGGAACCAAAAACACGGGGAAAAAAAATCTGAGTCTTGCAACCAGTCTTCTTCAAGGGTGTTGTAATTGTTACAGTATTCAGACGGACATGTGTGTAAAAAGTACATACCTGCTGCAGTCTAAACCTGTATAAATGTTCTTGCAACTTTTGTAAGCTTGTTTTTTTAACTTCTAAGTACATTTCATCCCAGTATGTAGAAGAAAAAAAAATTGTGCATGGATGGATGGCCAAAAGTGTGAGCCGAGTGTTGAACATTAGCTTAGCCGATTTAAGTAACCGTTTCATAGATTTTTTTGCTAATTACTCATACCTTTCAAAAAGGATCGAGGAACATTTTTTCTTTTTAACGAGTGGGTGCAGTTTTGTTTTCAGTTTGGTGCTATCCAGTTCATCTAACTTCCCTTATGTTGATTGAACTTGCGTCCTGCACTTTTAATTTTAATAGTGGTTACGTCGTCATAGGATTTGTGGTAGTGGTGTAGGAGACGTTCGACGCCCTCTTGTGGCGGCCTTTAGAGAATCTCACAAGCTAGGTCTCTGCAGGCAATCTGTATTCTTATTTCTACTGTTTTCATGGGTCGAGTGTAGAAGGCATGTCAGAGTGCCAAATTGTAGGTGGCATGCACACGTGTAGGTTCGCCTTTAACAAAGGGAGCACTTTTCAGGCATGCAACTTGGACTTGGACAAAAAAAGGAGGAAATAATTCCAATCTTTACGAGTCTCTGTACGGGTGTTTTTCAATTTTCATGGCGTGATGTGAAGTGAAAAACAAGGAAATCAGCTGATCCGGGAAAAGTTGCAGGCCAGATTTTTAGAAGACATTTTAAGCGTGATTTTTAACTGCCATGCAACCTTGGTTTATATAAATTTTGTATCTCTATTTATTCATGTTTTTCAGCCATTATTTTATTCTTGGCATTGAAATGATAAATTTTATAATACTTATGCCCTCTAGTATACTCCTTACCAGTACTAACAGATCATCCTCCTTCAAAGATTGCTTGGATGGGTAGAATTGCATTGTTGGGTATGTTCAGGTGCAAACTATAGTTCGACCGGTGGTGAGTTGTTTTTTAACAGTGCGCATGCGTAATTTGGTTACACTCCAACAACCCTAGCCGGGCTATTTTTTAGAATTGCAATTGGGTATGTTCAGGTGCAAACTATAGTTCGACCGGTGGTGAGTTGTTTTTTAACAGCGCGCATGCGTAATTCGGTTACACTCCAACAACCCTAGCCGGGCTATTTTTTAAAATTTCATCATTACATTGCACCGTTGGCTGCAATTCTCGAAGAATAAATGGTCGTGAAATGGTTCCCTCAGTAATGATAAATGAAATTGGCTTTTGATAACCAGTGGCGTGTCCATGCCCTGGAGCCTGGTACCAAATGGTGGACCAGAAAGTCCAAACCATCCAGCATTCAGGCGACGTTACTCCAACTATAGTCAATGATAGTCGGCGCTCGAACTTGCCTATATAGATAGTTTATGTAGTGTGGATTCTAGTTGTGAAACCAGGAATTCCTGAGAAGTGCACTGCAACTGGAAGTTTGAAGGATACCTAGAGAGAGAACACAAAGAAATTTAGGCCGTTTAGAAGCTGGAGGAAAGCCTGGAATGATCCGGGGAGACCCAGCGCATCAGGCATGGACTGGAAACCCAATCCACATTTTGTCCTGGGCGGGATTCGAACCAGGTCAGTGGTGGAAGGCGAGGACAAAACCACTGTCACAAACTTGGATATAAGGGCACAGGTTAAACCCCCTCCAAAAAAACAGTGAACAAAGTGAGATCTTCGGTACAAGGGAAAGCACTATGTACATACATGTACGTGCAATCATTGCAGTAATTTTGGACTACTTGGTATACGCACGCCGTTCTTTTCGAGGTTTGGAAGCTTTAGTCACTTGAGTGCAGGTCCGAAAGATATATGCCTTGGCCGCATTGTAGTTGCATTTCTCAGATGTCTAGGACGTGCAAGGACTCATCCAAATGTGATTATTGTGACTGACCTGTAACAGATTGGCGTCACGCCTTGTTTACATGTGTGCTTTCCTATTTTCAGTAAGGCGTGACATGATGTGTCGAAGCATAGGCAGGTGTACATGTACATGTCAAGAGAATCTGTCTGACTAGGTCTGTCGTTTCATCGCCTGCAGATTAAGAGGCAATGCTTAAGCTGCAAAATGTTTATACCAGCAATGAGGCGAGCACACGTACAAACTCTTTCTATTCAAATCTGGCAGCCATTTTGATTCTTCAGTACTTCTTAAGGCGATGATTTTTCAGGGCTCCATATCCGGCATTTTGTTATACGTTCTTACTCTTCTCGGTGTTGAATCTTGTCGACTTGTGCTTGCCTGCAATAGCTCTTGTATTTTGTACTTTGTACTAATTATTAAGAAATGTATATTATGCAACTCAGTTCTTATTCTGTAAATACCAGTTGAGTAGCGGTAAGTGAGGTGGATGATTTGATGAGGAAATGACGTTCTGTGGGGGCAGCCATCTTGGAATTGTCCCCGGAAGGTGCAGTGCATGTCTATGTGGAGATTTCATTGTGAGGTAAATAGTTACGAAAATATAGCAAATTTGGTAAGTTTGAAAGAGGCAATTGATGATATTTTCACACCTGTTCCCCTTCTGTTTAACGGCTTCCTTATAGTTTGTATTCAGAACTTACCCATGTCACTGATTTTTTAAAATCATTATCTTGTTTATTCTAAACAATGCATGTAAACATAATTTCAGGCATTTTCGTACGATCATGTTCAGACAGCAAGTTAGCAAGAGCAAAGCAAACAATAAAATCATTTTTGTACCAAAATTACCGTGGTTCCATTATTTTTGGCTGAATTGTCATATCAAGCAGGTATGTGGCTCTTCTGGAACGAGAGTAATAATTCACTTTGAACTTGAGCCTTGAATGAAGTCTAAACATTGAAACATTTGCATACACCAGATGCTAGATGCCACCTTTGTCCCTGAGCATTAGTCTCTCACACAGTCAATTATTAGCACCAGTATTTAACACCATACTTTTCTCTTCCTTTATTGCTTCAACACTAGTAGCATTCACTCCAACATTTTATACAAATAATTGTCTTTACACGGTTTTTCTCATTAAAAATATGTAAATTCCACTTTCAGGGAATCTCATCATAAACAACTCTTTTGGGGGTCATATTTCGTATTAACCCTAACCCCCTAGGGTGTATGTAAAATCATATTGAAATTGGAGGATTTGGGACTGTTAGGGTTAATAGGTGGTCATATTCAGCGCATTTGATTACCTTCCCTGCAAGCGTGATTGTGTTTGATTTGACACTCGGGTGACTCTCTGTGCTTTTTCAGACCTTCCCCTCTAGATAACTACCCTGCCAAGCCGGTTACATGGGGAAGTATCCCACAATGCAAAGCAAAACGTGGCAGCTTACCATAGTTGAGCAAGGGAAGTTAACAAAAGTTAAAAATATCTTTGAATCAAATCAAGTGAGATCTGTTGGTTTCCAGAGTTCAAATTCATGGTACAATTTCAATTTCGGTGTGACCTTTTGACCCAGTAAGGCACCTCAAGTACCCCGAGATCATTCATTTATTTCCACACATATTGCACATGCTCACCTAAACCTACATGTACGACGCAATCACAGAAGGGTGTGAGGGATGAAATTCAACCCACTGTAAGCACGATTTATGACATCACAAAATTTCCACCATGATCATCACTGCTCTCCATCAGGATGATCTTGCAGAAGTGTTTTAGTATCGTACAAAATTTTGAATATTAACGAGACTGTCAACGGTGACAGTATTTTCTCTTCACAGAAAATTATGCCGAATAAAAAATCTGAATACATTAACGAATTACCAAATGGAATATATGATACACGCTGAAGTGTACCAACTATCATTTCAGTTACCGGTATTCCAACAAGGCTACTGACAACAGGTTCTGCAAATATCCTTGATCCAAAAATACAAAAATCTATCATGTACAGTACCCTGAAGACCAAACTTGTCATATACCCTGAAGACCCAACACTTACATGCAGTGTGCATGTAATTACCAAGAACTCAGCCCCTGGGTACCAGCCTCTTTTGACTCTAAACCTGTTAGAGATACAAATCAACAGTGGTGTCGGCAGAAGTTGGAAAAAGAAGTCACATAGCACAACGTGCTTCACACACGTACACGACATATCAGAAATATTTATACCTTTTCACATGAATAATTAATGAAGTAGCTGGTGGCACTGAGGTCGCACATTTAAAGTCATGAAAGTGTAGAACACATGTTTCACGCGTCCTGAGCATAATACGCACGTCTCGCTCGGCATTCCACATGACCTCCCTTTCTGACAACATGTATCGTCCAGAGCGGGCACAGGCGCGACTTTGGCCAAAAAAAAGCAGCTCATAGCAAAGGCCAAACCTGCTACCAGCGCATCAAAACAAAGAACTCCATTTGCTCTTTCTGATGCAAATTAGAACAGAGTGACCAAACATATGGCCTTAAAGATCAGTCACATTGGCAATTCACCATTTCCCTAATTATGAAATTTAGTCATATTTAAAACAATCCACTTGTATTATGTAAAAAAAAAGGAGCAAAGGTTGCTACTGACGTCATAAGCATGGGTTATTCTTGATACCAGACAAAGTGAAAACAACGGTCTCTGGAACATCCAATAGAATTGTTTTAGCTGACGTCAAACTACTCGGCAATTATACAACTGTTTCATCATTTCGAGGCAAAAGCGCTTGCGTGCATGAGTGCTGGGCATGCTCAAACTAACTGTGAGTTAAATGGGGTCAGACACTGAGAGCAACTTGGGAACTGATTTTACATCAACAATGTTGATCAGGCAAGTCAAGGTGATGTAGCATCGAATTGTACCCGGTATGATACAGCTGAATCATCCCAATTTAAAGCAGAGTAAGGTCTCGAAGTTCTGGCAGATGACCGCGATCATTTACCGAAAATGAGCCGCGAGGGAACACAGCCTATTATGGCCGCATGGTCAAGAAACTCTGGAAGAACAAGAACCGTCTCATTAAATCGCTAGTTTCGTTTGCCGCCTCCATCAACGCATTTTTTTTACTCGGAGCAGAATCAAACTCCCAAAATTATGATTTTTTTTACAAATGCAAAGAGAAGCCATGTTAGTCACTATATGAGTAATAATGACCAATTCCCTTTTCGTTAAATAACCTTTTCGCATAAAAGCAATGTGGCTGATCTTTAAGACTCATTTTGCTGGATCCTGTCACATACATTATTTGCTATCTTATTGCTGTATATTGTACCATGTCTTGACAAGGCTAAGCCCGCCTGGAATGCATTGCAGTGTACATGTAGCTTCAAAATGATGGAAACCAACTGTAAAAATGAGATTTCAAACAAGCTCCTGAATATTTTTAAAAAAACTTTTACACATTCAGGTTTTCTCCTTTAAAATCACTTAAATTAAAAAAATTTAAATCTCTTCACAAAATCAATATGGACAGGTGATCTAGATCTCCAAAACAAGCATTACTTACATGTAAGTACATGTGTACATGCCTAAAAAAACAAGATGCGCAAACTTTGTACAATGCAGTTCATCCAAATTTACAAAAGAATGGCCCAATTTTAAGGACTAAAAATATTTCTTATCACTATTTACGCAAGTCTGCTTTTGCACTGTGCACAGCCACAATCACAGCTACATTTTTTTGGTTTGAAAGACTGCCAGGAATGACGGGGCAATGTGGTACATGTATAACTCCTTGCAAACTTGGTTTTGGCCAAGCGTACAGGTAAAATACTTTCCATCCTCAAAAGCTGACATAAAGTGGTTCATGTGTGACTTAAGTACATGGTTGGAGCATTTTTTGGTGAAAACGGTTGTTCATAAAATGGACGCCAACAACAGACAGAACCCTGACAGTGGCTGTGCACATGTGTAAAAAAAAAGGGACGAGGCTCAACAGCTAAGTCGGGAACAGCATGCAAGATTTTAGGTACTAGTCAACACATGCAACGGCAAGCTGGTCAAAATAGATACAATTGGCTACGGTAGTTTGCACTTCGTATCGGAAAGCACTCGGTGGAGTCAGTCGGGCTCACTGAGCTATATCAAATTACTGGAGCACAAACTTCTCATTCTCCGTGCGGAGAAAATTTGACCCCGTCCTGGGCGTAGACATTTCGAATCCATGTGCATGCTTGTGGAACATTCAAAATCAGATAGAATCGATATCGAGTAATGTACTGTAAATGCAACGCGCATCGGGTGCTGCTAAAATCCGATTTGAAAAGTCACGGCAAAATTATCTGCAGCGCATACGCGCACACATTTGCATTGTTTACGCAGAGCAAAATGAAACGCTCATTTGCTGATTGTATGTTAGTTTTTCCAGAATACAGACGTAGACACATGGAAAAAGCCGTACAAAAGCCGTACAAGATTTCGAGTTTTCCACAGGTTTGGGCACAAACACGGATGTGCCCTGCAGGCATCACTTTGTACACGAGTCAGCGCTCTGGTGTTTATGGTTGGACTGCACGTAGCAGTGATATGCACCTCTCCAGCAGCATTAAATTGGAGGGGAACTTTGGCGCGTGTTGGCACAATTCAGAGAAAACACTGACAGAATACAATGGCTTTGGACAGACGGGGCTCCAGTAAAAAAACACTGCAGTCTTTTTGGCGGGCAAAATGAATGCTCCGGCCTGTTTCCAAATCTTGCTTTGCCCCAGAGTCCCGCTACATCTCCTGCTACATAATCAAGCCCTGAAGGTTTTACCATTGGAACTGGGTGAAAGAAATATTGCAAACCTCGGACCTAACGGTACACAATTTTAGTCTCTCTGTACTGCACAACAATGGAGCGGCGTTGTGCCCAAAGGTCTGTATGTTCAGGGGACTAAACTCATCGAACTGCAGACAAACAGGGACAAAGTCAAGACGCGCCCCCCCCATGTGCTTTTTGCATAGATGCTTAAACGGTGCAAAATACGGTACTGTAACATTACAGAAGCAATCTGGTATCTAGCAATCCAAACCATGCAAAGTTTGCCCGTGTGAGGCTACAAGAACATACCGAACGACATTCCAATTTCATTTGGATTTCATCCAAATTCCAATTTGAAAAAAAAAACAGCGTTGTAGTTGGGTCCATCACAGAGTCCATCACAAGTCGTTCAGTCCTAAGCCAATTCACAAGCTGCTCAAAGCCACATTGACAAAAGCTTTCCTTTTCCACCGTTGACATTATCACTTATGACTGGGTCTTGTGAAAGACTTTGTGATGGGCTCGACTACAACAATGTGAAAAATAAAGGGGGAAACCGGGGACTCGATTCTGGGAAATTTCCCGCAACAAGGAAAATGCGGAGAAATGTCAGGAAATTTGCGGAGAAATGTCAGGAAATTTGCGGAGAAATGTCAGGAAATTTGCGGAGAAATGTCAGGAAATTTGCACGGGTGAATTCATCTCGTTTCAAATGACGGACAGATCTGACTGATTACTCTGGTCTGATCCACATACATGTACCGTAACCCTAACCCTCCTCAATCCTTCACCTGTTGGAAGACTGAGGAGTGTTAGGGTTAAACTTCGGCACAACTTACAATAACTTGCAGCACATCTGCGGACATGCCATGCCAACTTTCTTGCTCGCTTTTCGGATGATGATATGTCTAAGCCAGTGGAAATTTCACTTTCGGGTTTCTCCTAAGAGAGCTTTACGCCCTTGCTCAATTACGCCAACTGTTGGCGGTCTTCTCCTTGGGGCCGTTTCTCCGCCTGATCACAGTCGCCGGTACAGACAGAACGCCAAGATCATCCCGATGATCTGCAACAATGAACAGAGGGTCTCTGGTCACGTGGACACCCATTCTTTGCGTGAACGCTTTTCCAACATTCCTGAGAACTGTCGCGGACGACAAAGGTTCTTCAGTGCACCCACAGGCTTACCTGCAACATGGAGACCCCGATGCCTGTGCCCGCGATGACCACAGCAAATCTGCCACCCTCTTCGGCGACCGCATCCCTGCACCCCTGCAGGAACAAAACAACAGGTGATGAATTAAACATGGTCATTAATTATACATGAGAGCATGCCTGCAGGGACAAAGCAGTGAGAGTCATGAATTAGCCAGGATCATGAATAAAACATGACAGCCTGCTTAAGAGCTGCCCACCAAAAAAATCCTGCTCTTGTATGGGACAGATTCAAACAGGCCATAAATTAATCATGACTCATGAATTATACATGAGAGCATGCCTGCAGAGACACAGCAGTGAGAGTCATGAATTAGACAGGATCATGAATAAAACATGACAGCCTGCTTAGGAGCTGCCCATCAAAGACAAGGACAAAACAAAGACAGGCTATGAATTCAACATGATCACATGCTTCTGCAGCAAATCTCTGCTCCCAATGCTGCTGCCGCGAATTAATATACCTCAAGGCAGGGTTTCGGTTACGGAAACTTACGATGTTGTTGATGTACGACAGGTGGGTGTTGAACATGTTCTGACATGCCTGCAGGTTGACTGGCTCCCCTTCTTCGTCGCGTGTGCAGCAGGACGGTGGAACCAGAATCAGGTTGTTCTCGAACCACTTGGAAATCTGGTACAGCTGGGCGGCCTCGATATCAGTCCCTTCAAAGCCGCAGCAGTCAAACTGGGAGTTCAGATGAACAGAACTGAAAATAACTTGAGGGGTGCCACGCGATTGGCTACTGCTTCCACTTTTGTGACCAGCAGAGCTTTACAGTGGAGACTGAAATAGACCTGTATGTTACACCTGGCTACAGTCAATAGAATTCATTCACGAGTCGGCCATATTGATTTGAGAGCAAACTTATCGTATCATTTTCGGAATCCGTGAGTAAATAATGAAAGCAATGAAATAAAGCCGGGAAGAAACAAACAACATGCAACATGGCGGCGTCCATGTACGTTACTCAAGAGTTAAGTTTTGGATGGGTTGAATTCTTTTCTATATAAACAGGTACATTCATTTCTGTGTTTGGGAAAATAATTATTGTTGATGTTGCAAAACTTCTCATTGTCCACATTGTCTATGGCTTTGGAAGCCACCTCTCCACTTTTTGTGGCTGTTCAAAAATCAAAATCTCACGAGTTTTTCCGTGTGTTCCTGTAAAACCCTGACGAGGAGGTGGTGTGTGATCCTGTTCCGAGAACAGTGTTCTTAAGTCGTGTTCCCGCCGTTCGAGCGCGAGAACAAGAAACCCGTGTCAAGAACAGACAGCATGAACTCGACCCATGAGGAGACCACACAGCGACATCTACAGTGCACGCACGCAGCCAATAAACATCACTTCAAATTGTTCAGTTTCCATGCCAATGCTCTGTCAAGTTATAGGCATCGGCGGTAACAAACTGGTTAACTGGGTCCTAGGATGGCCACTCACTTACCATCAGCTGCACGTAGTTAAAGGCATCGGTGGTCTCAAAGTGAGTCCCCTGTCCATACCTCTCGACGAGAGCCTCTCTCATCTCCATGTTGGCAAGCGTTATAACCTGGAAAGGAAATAACTCCAGCATGTCAGTAACGTCTGGAATGAACACTTACGGGTCACTCAATCAATTTGCTGTCCACCGTTCTTCTGACATTCCATTTAGAACAGATTCTTTGATTTCCAAGAGTGATTAAGTAATGCAAATACGCTGCCTAACAAACAATAATTACATGCAGTTTGAAGTGCGCATGTGCACCGATATTCCTGAGAATGACATTCATGACCATGGAGGAAACACTTCCGACGTGATTGGCTCCTCTTTGCTGCGCTTTGTGCTTTGCGTTGGTGGGCATTTGCTCAACTAAATTCGCCTCCTTGCCCTAACCCTCCAGGGTGCTTTGGCAAGACACCCTGCCAGTCACATCAGTTTGCATCATTTGTCAAAGTGGCGTGCCTGCCCAATGTGACAAGATCCAACACCCGATGCTCTGTGCTGCGTCTGGCAGGGTTGGTGTTTAACATCTGGAGATCGATTTCACGAGGATCCGCACTGACCTGTGTGTAATATGCCAAGGATAAAACTCCGCCAGCAAACTCGGTAACAAATATCAGCATCATCAATGCAGCAAACTGGAAGATAAAAGGATTACGAACTAACAATATCATAACAAAAAGGCTTTCCGTTGAAAGGAGAACTCAAATGATGTTTGTTGGTGTTATCGTGATCGTTAACGTGGTTATTGTTAAGATCGGGGCAGACCTTCTACTCACAAGGCTTACATTAGGGGTTACATGTACACGTACAGTCCTTCGTTTGGAGCTGTCAAGAAAAGTAACTTACTTTTGAAAAGCCTACTCGGTTTAAAGAGCGTTATGGAATTGAAATCACAGCACAATTAATCTTTCTGGTAAGCAGTAATGTGGAGGAAAACATTGAAAGGAGGCCATTTCCAACAATGCGTCTAAAGACGCATTGTTGGAAAGTTACAATCAGCAGTTTGCTAAAAATGTTCATTTGGCGAAATACTGACATGACGCACTCACCCACACGGTTATTATAACACCTCAGTTGAGTGCATAACACTGTGCAACCACAATCGATTGAATGAGGACATGTTCATTCCGCATCAGCAGGGAACCAGGTGCAGGAAGCATACATGTATATTATACATGAGTTTCATTGGTAACTCACCGTGGCCATTTAATGATTTCTTTAAGCAGTGCTACAGACACGTTTGATGCACAACACCAGGCAGCTGGGACCAAAGTGCAAAAACGAAAATGAAATTCTTCAATCCAGATTTACCGCGAAGATGAGGCATTTGCTCTCGAGGCGCACCGCACAGCAGCCCAAGATGGAGACAAAGACGGCCGCTGATCCCGCAGCGATGAGGCAGAAGGAGGCATTGACGTACATCTCAGAGTTGGTCAACACCACAATGCGTTGGCTGGTGTTGTCCACAATGCCCCAGACCCCGACACCCATGGCTGCTATGCCACTGAACTGAAAAAGGAAAAAAAAACAAGGAAGGAGACACAAAAGTGCATCAAGTTGTTCCCGTTCCACTTGAGGGGTTCCGAGTTAGGGGGTTTGAACTCCGGGAAAAGCACTGCCGTTTTGGATGTTTTACAAGGTTGCACAGTTTATCTTTCATCGACAAACTCGAGAGGCTGGTGGTTCAACAAAGCTGTTATCTTTAAGAGTCACATTTGAAAGCAACCTGCAATGGATACTCAGCCTCAATTTGGTTTCTCTCATATTACTACAAGTTACGACAACAGAAACAAGACCTACGTAAATACTTGTCTTCATTGGAAGGGAAAGAAGGCAGTCGTTTATCTTTTCTTAGAAAATGCTTTCATCAATGCATGCAGGACAGCACTGTTTTGAGTTTGTCACTCAAGGTACCCTACACGTACTCCTTGTCAGCAGAGCATAGGGACGGTACAAAAACCAGTCCTTCTAAAGCCCCTGCCAGCAATGTCTTAAAAAAATATTGGCCCCTACTACTGTCCAAACTCAGAAAGTGCAGCTGACATCCCCAAACCTGCATGAACTGTTTAGCCTGTCCCTGTTTTACTGACAGTCAATAGGAAGGAAACTCAACAAGCGTGAGAGAGAAAGAGAGAGAGATGCCAGATTTCCACTGTCTTTTCGTTGTTGACATTTCAACACCTTTCCCAGCTTATCAGTTTAAATCCCTTCACCAAAGAATTACTGGTAATCTGTAATCAAACACAAACACACTGGGGTTACCTGCCACTGCTTTTGAGCACTGAAGCTTGAAATTGTAGCTAAAATTCTAAGCTTTGCTGGGGTCTTTTTGAGATTAGAAGTTTGCAGAGTGGAAACGGGAAATGCAAAATCTGATCTGAGCAGTTTCATCACAGTACAAACTCATATTTCCTGCAGGCTAGTAAAAAAAACGCTTACGATCGAGGCTTGCTTACCATGAAGAGCACATTGAAGGCATACAGCGTCCATTTATAGCATCGACCGATGCAGTTCAGCGTAGACACGGGAGACTCAAGGTTGACCATTATGGTAGGCCTTCTGACCGTCTTTAGACCCTGACCCAAGTACCGTACACTGTATCTCTACACTCCTCTTTCAAACCCAGGGCAGAATTCCACCTCTTTCCGGTTCACAGATTTGATCAAATACCTCCGGGGGGGGGACAGAGTTCATCAAATCACTCAGATTGCGTGGTTCACAAGCATGCTAGTAATTAATCAAAATAAACGAAGAACCTTTTAGTTAATTTTTAAAACAAACAAAACAAACAGCATTTGTCAATAGGCTGTGCACTTTGGAATTTTTTCTAAATGTTGCCTCACGAGTTTACAGTGCAAACAAATAAATTTCATTCATCAACATTTTGTTGGAATAAATATCATCAACTATTTAACACTCTGATATTTGGGGGCAACATTTTTAAGCAAAAGGAGCAGATCATACTTGAATGACCTTAGTAAAATAACTTAAATAAGTCTAGATTCATAAGAGACTGAAGAAATTGAAGTTGTACAAGCTCGCAAACAGGGATGTAGATTGCAAATGCTACGACGTAATTATGAACAACCTTTGAAGAAATTGTACCATGGGTCTAGAAAGAAATTTAAATTGATGATGGGATTATTACTGGAAATACCCTCTCGAAATTTTAGAGTGTAGGCCTACTTTTGTCTGGGCAGACAGAGGCCATTCGTTCATAGAAAAATAAGCATAACTTCCGTGGTGTATACACGTACATGTACATGTGCATATAAATGTACTGTATACATATGTACATGTACATACATGTATGTACAAACTGCTAAGTAGTTTCCATTACCCACAACAAAATGGGCAAGTCATACCTACATTATGCAGTACATGTAGCTCTGTACTTTACATGGCCACGAGCAAACAGGAAAACAATATTGCCACAGGGAAGTACTAGGAAAGTAACTCCTTCCCCGAGTCTGATGGTCCGGTTCTTTGAAGAATCACCACCAAGCTGTTTTTCGTACGTGAGCTCACTTCCACTATGTCATCGTGTCTGTTGCACCACGTAAAGATAGGCCAGTACACGCATACATGTACGTACATGTACACAGCAGCACAGTACAGTAGGCAACCGTCGCAGGAAATAATATTGTGACTAATAGGTCATAATGCAGTACACAATTGCCAAGCAAAGCAACTCAACAAGGCCAGAGGAAAAGGCGATCGGCATTCAGTCAGAATATTTCCTGTAATTTAGAACGTATGGGGATCATCCATCATGTCCATATACATGTATCAGGCTTAATCCATTCATCCGTATGGGCAGATGGTATGATCCAAGAAAGTATCAACTGCTCTTTGGGTAGAGACCCTTGGGTCCATTGGTCGGCAAGTTTTGGGCATGTACAGGTGCATATCAGTATAGCTCTTATACAGTTAATGGAAGACCAAGCTCGGCATCAAGTCCATCCTGAGACCACCAGGCACCATCCAGTCACAAATCAAGATCACAAGCTCATCAAATAAAAGCATTACTTTGTCACTGTTGACCCAGCGATCCGCAACTGGTCTCAAAAGAAGGACTTCTGACCGACGGTAAATTGCGTTGAAGGCTCATGACATGGGGAGATTTGCCACAGAGCTGATTAAAAATGTTCAATCAGAAAACAAAAGTTTGCCCGTTCCTGACATTTTATTGGGCCAATATCACTGACTTTGTTGATGATTTGTTGATGTTGTTAATTTTCAGGTAATCTCTATATTAATTTTCAGGGATTGTGTGTTTGGGGACCCCGTCCTATCATAAAAGGGAGACCTACATGTACCAGTACATTTTAACTTTTGGATTCACCTTAGTAGATGACTATGACATCACGGTCAATGACAGAAGGGTTGATGTTATCAATGATTGAATGGTTTGATGGAATTTATGATGAGAAACTGTGAGTGTTTTAACGCATGACACATGGTGGATTCAAATTTGCATGGCTGGTTTATCAGTAAGAAAGTCACATGTTCTCAGAATTTACACTAAAAATTTCCACAAAATAGGGTCGGCGCAATAAGGAGAGCGTTGCCTTTGTTTTTGGGGGTTTTTTTAAGGGGCTGACCAGCTTTGCAAAATTAAAATGTGGGTCCAGAAATGCATGTACACAATCCCAATATTTCATTACTTTCAATAATTCCAGTGCTTTATGGCATTTCCTACTTTCCAGCATTTTTATTTTCTGGCAGTTTTCTAGTCTCTTGCTGTAACATTGGCTTTCCCTGAGTTACTGGCGATATTTTTTGGGTATTCCCAATAAAAAAACACGTTCAAAATACTTCAGCCATTTTTAATACTTCACCAACGTGACAAAAAACTTGCATGACGCTAGACTGTGCATACATCACTCGATTGTGCAATGATGATGTAATTTTTGAGCTGTTTTATGAATGTAGATCACGATTATTTGCAGATGACATTGATCGCTTTATCGGCCAAAAACTTCAATACAAATTGCTCTGATTGATCAACTTTGTGACGATCGTCAACCTAGTCAACCGTTGTCAGGTTGTTAGGTCAAAGGGGAGACAAGGTGACCAGAGAAAGAGCAAAAAATTACAGTGAAAATGGTCATTTACTAGAGACATACTGTTTTTCTGACAATTTTCTTATAACTGGTTCTCTCTGCACTGTGCTTTTAAAAATGGTTTAAGGCAACCAATGACACGGCCAACCTCGGCAGGCTGGTCGCGAATAATTATCTAGACTAGTCAGCTAGTCCAACCATCATCGACTACCGGTACGTGTAATGAACATTCGATCAGAGATAGTCAAACTACATGTATGGTTAACTATGCCCTTCCTGCAGCCACCGTTTCTCCCCTTCGGCATTCGGCCTAACATAATTAATAGGGTTACAACCTGACAACGGTTGACTAGGGTTGTTCCCACTTCATCGTCACTGCACATGCATGCCCTAAGTACACTACACATGCATGTCATGAATTAGCCCCACTAGTGTGGCACGGACGATCACTCCCCATCCATCCTTAGCCACACATCCGCATGCGCAATTTCGTGTCGGCGTACTGAACATTTTCGGCGCACCCACTGATCATTGTGGGCGCAATTGCTTTTGCACACGAACATGATTCTTGACTTTTCCACTTTCTAAAAACTATTTATTGAATAATTTCACTCACGTTATTCATGTATTTTCCAGTCTTTTTGCTTTTATCCATTCAATCTAACGAGCTCACTTTCACAGTCACCATCTTTAAAATAAGGTTGTTGAACATTACGTCACTTGACCCCTCATCGTCTCGATGGTGACTGTGAAAGTGAGCTCGTTAGATTGAATGGATAAAAGCAAAAAGACTGGAAAATGCCTCAATAACGTGAGTGAAATCATTCAATGAATGGTTTTTAGAAAGCGGAAAGGTCAAGAATCATATTCGTGTGCAAAAGAAATTGCGCCCACGATAAGTGGGTGCGCCGAAATGTTCAGTACGCCGACACGAAATTGCGCATGCGGATGTGTGGCTAAGGATGGATCGGGAGTGAGAGTCCGTGCCACACTAGTGGGGCTAAGATCGGGAGAGTCTGTGCCACACTAGTGGGGCTAGTCATAAATCAACCACTACTTTAACTAGTGGTCCTTGATCGAACTTGCCTCAAGTTGAACAAGCGACATTTTTTGCAGAGACTACACATGAGCTAGGGACGATGGTCCCCGATCTTTCAGGTCCATTCAAAATGTTCAACAAGATTATCAAGAGACTAGACACGGCGCGCGGTCATGGCGGTAGGCATGGATTGGTTGGACCTATCACTCATGTCACTAGTTTTGTCCCACATATCCGCCCAACTCTCTAACTTTATCGACACAATAATAATTTAACATTAACAGAATAACACCTCATTATGAATTAAACTCACCCAGACAGATTAAGTCTTACATCTAGACAAATAAACGGTGGCTTCTTGGTGAAATCAGTCGTTGCAACTGCGTCTGCTGTATCTGTGGGAACACTCTCACTTTAGAGAAAGTCTTGTAACTGGCAACACTCCGTATCACACCGTGTCACAGTTGGTTGGTAACCAGACCTTTTTCCTCACCTTTGACCTTATCATACATTCATACTCGCCCCGCCCAATAATTGATTAATTGCTCCTTCCTATAATCATGAATAACTTAATGTAAATTTGCTTGTAGCGCCTATATGTCTAAATTTAAATAATTTATTCCCTGATCAGCTATTCACACTAGAGATGGAGCCAAAAATCCTCAGTTCAGTCACACAAAAGCTCTGAAAAAGAAAGTTGAAACGGCATTTGCAGGTCTGTAGAAAATGGATACAACTTGAATATTCGTATTTCAATATTCTCATGGTAAAGCCTGAGAGCCCCTTCATCGGCTGGCTACATTTTGTCGAACCACCAGCAAAATCTATTACTGTCCTTTATCTTGTTTGGTGTCATACCTTTGGTCTCACTTTTCCTTACAGGGTTGTTTTACCCAAATTTCATTTGAAAATAAATTTGTGAATGTTCCATTTATGTAAAGGGATAATTTTCATTGTTCGAGCTAGCCAAGCTGTCAGAATGCAGTCGACTCCTACACAGTAAGGTTTTACAGGATTGAAGGGCTATACGAGGGTTTCAAAATGCTTTAAGTAACTAGGTCAAAGGTGAAACCAACTACCTTTATTCATGGCGGGGCAAATAAAAAAATAATGCCCTCATCTGCATAATTATTTTCAATGAAATAAATTATGAGACAATTCTCCACCCATCTTTATAAACACAGCTGAAGGCAAATCCAAAACATTTGGGGGGAGGGTGGATCTTAGGGTAGACGAAAAAGTTGACATTTTTTATGTAATCTTACTCTTTCTGAAATGCGAGGATAAATTTCTGGGAGGAAATTACACTTCAATACACAATGTGCTAATACCATGCCCTCTCAATTTAAAAACAAAAACCTTTTTGGGGGGTGGTCCCGTTTGCCCCTCCCACCCCCACCCATCAGAGGAAAGACAAACCCAAGTCCACGCCAAGTTTTTTCTAGCAGTCAATCAAATTTTCGACGAGATTTCACAGTTTCCTACATTTTTACACGTTTATTTGATTCACCTTTCTTTACTGAATACACCAAACATAGAGTATTACTATTTAAGCGTAATGACAGAAGTTACTGGAAACTGGTCAGCACATGTACACAATGTTACAATCGTAAAGCATTTCCGTCCATATTTATAGTACCAGGGTTTTTTGTACGTTTATTAGTCAATGAAAAGTGGATCCATTAAATTAAGTCACAGACTTGTACTTTATTTTACTACCCAACTTAACAGCTAGGGAAAAACATTCTTGAAACAACAGCTAGGAAAAAACATTCTTGAAATAACAGCTAGGAAAAAACATTCTTGAAATAACAGCTAGGAAAAAACATTCTTGAAATAACAGCTAGGAAAAAACATTCTTGAAATAACAGCTAGGAAAAAACATTCTTGAAACTGTTTACCATCCATTGTTTCCAAATTAATTCAGTGGGCACTTATTTCTGAATAGTGTAAGACTCAAGTGCCATTATCTAAATTCTTTTCAAAACCTACTTCCACTGTTTTTTCTTTAAAGGCCAGAGGACAATTTCAGAACAGTACTTTGAAACTAGACACTTAAAAATTTTGAAATTCCAGCTCAGAATTCATGCACCTGAAAAAAAATTGTCATGAAATGTGACACAGGCTGATTTTCATGAACACTTCAACTTCCACAAAGTCACAGGGCCTACTTTGTATCATTCTGATGAATTTGGATATGGGAATGCTAGGCCAACTAGGAGCCTTCTTAAAATTTTGTGGCTTCTTGTTCCAAGGCAACCAAAAAAGGCCAACAGAATGTTCGCTTTCTGAGGGGGTAAAACTTAAAAGAGGGCCACTTTAAATGCAAGTTACATCGAACCTTGCAACTTTACTGTCACCTCCCTATGCGCTGCAATACTGTATTTCAACCCGTAACAGCTCTCATTCCTCCGACCAGGTGAAAGATTAAAGACTGTTACAGTAACGAAAAGAAACCTACTGGGTCATCAACCTTAAAGCCAAAAAAATATACTTCAGCTACTGTAAAAATAAAACAGCAAACATTTTACAGGGAATTAAAATGAATAAACAAAATATAAAATAACACTTTTTACAGTATATAAAAAGCATCACCGAGAGCAACACAGGACCCTGTATTATGTTGACAAAGACAAAAACTGTGAACAATCTCGACTTTCGGTTATTTCATGCAACATTTCTGGGTATATTTCAAAGAGGAAAGAAACTTCAGTTTGCTTCTTGATGAGTCTCCATTTTACTTCTTTCATGTAGTACATGTTGGTACACAACTGCTTTTCCAACCAAACTGACCAATCAAAGTGTAATGTCTTTCCCATGATACATCTCTTCTGATTGGTCAGTGTTGCTGAGCATCACTCCTTATTACCACGCCTATAAAAGGATTACAAAAAGTTCATATCCCTTAAGAAGAAGCCTACTGTGAATACAGACAGGGTGAAGTTCAGATGGAATGAAAAGACATGATCCGTGATAGTACAGATATTGGATTAGTAAGGTCCTCACTAGCACGTAACTGAGGGCCTTCGATACATGAAACACAAGGTTGTCAGTAGGCGTTACTAAAGACCCATTTCTTAGTTATAGTACAAAGCACCATTAACACCACAACACCAGGGACCTCGTATAAGGAATAAAGAGTTCTCTGTCTAAAGTACCTTCACACAAAAATTGACTGGGTAGTACTGGGCCCACGAATGATCAACGTACACGTATGTTATGCATGCCACTTGAGGTAAAGCAGTCTTTGATCTGTTTGAACTCTGCCATGTTAAGCCATGTTTGATTTACAATGCACCTGGCTGCAGCCAGCAAAAACATGCATGTCTATGGCCAATAGCCATAGCCACAAGCCCTTGGCTTCCATAGGCATTTCAAGCATTTGCCATGTAACAACACTACAGCCACCTGACTCAAGAACTGTGGTGCATAGCTAAACTTGAAGGGTGCCTGTCTATCACGGCAGCCATGTCTGAAGAACTGCGACCATGTGCAAACTGAAGGCAAGGTGGATTCAGTCTTAAAAGAGTACACATCAACATAATGTTAACATAAGGACATAGACCTCTATCACTGGGCAGCCATCTTGCTTTTCTACCATTCAAACCAACGCAACCAAGATGAGGCTGGAAGGGAAAATAGTCTGTTCCCTTTTCATCAATATGTAAAGTTGTATCACTACTGCCAATAGGTCTATAGGGGACAAGACAAACATGGCAGCCTCATGATATAGGTGTATACTCGCATGCAGAGTGTGCATACAATGATATTATCTCCTGGGCTTGGTCCCTGACCATCAGTGGGTTAGCCAATAAGATTCTTTTGCTTTATACAGCACGTGGGCATAAGCAGTTCCAAACTGGACGCATTTCCAGGTTTTCTGTAGCACCCGTCAGGGCGACCTGAAGCGAACGGTATCTCAAGATGTGATCCAGTACCAGACTTGACGTGGATTGTAAGCTCCAAAGTACAAACCGATGCCTCATATTGAAATACTCCCATCAACCCCAAATCGTCTCTTAAACAAAGAAGCTACTGAACACCACCGTTAAGTAGGACATTTTTTTTGGTTCTTTGTTTTTCTTTCCCCCAGGATACAGCCTCCACATGTAAAAAGTACAAAATAGAGTTTTAAATAGTTTCCTCTTGCCGTTGGATTCATTCTGCAAAACGGAGGACACCACCACACACAACACACACACACACGATACAATCGTTCTAGTATATACATACAAAATCCTTTTTAAGAATTCATGCAATTATTTCTAAACGCCGTTAAAAAAAATTCAAGACTAGCAACTACTATTTGGGTAATGTGTGATTAAATACAAAATCTCTAATATGGGTACAAGAGAAGAGTACGTACTAAGTACTATCATTTTCAGACATTTGCGCATCTTTTTTTTAAATTCAATTTAAATTTGCCTTCAATTTAATTACATAAAGCATTCACTCTGTTCAAATTTGCATGCTAGAAACAGATAAATGTCAACGAAGTTGCAAAACTCAAAGAATTAGAAAAATAATGCACGAAAACCCTCTGTTCACTGATTCTCTTTGATTGTTTAACAACCGTTATCCCCCTCTCTGGGAAATGGATCGTCCCAGTACATGAAAGGGGAGACTAGACTCTTCCACATCAACACTTGAAGAGGGATGACCAACTTCTCCCATCCTCTAAACGGCATGTTGCTAAAATGTGGTGACACTTAAAAAGAAAATCATAAGCTTCAAGATTTACTGAAAGAAAGAAAAAATGCCTCTTAAAAACACAATTATTCCAATCACTCAACCAATGAATATTCAAAGCCTCAAAAGCTAATCAATATGTATGCTTCAAAACATTATGCAGATTCAAAAAGCAGATTCCACTCTGATTATGCGACCATAACCATAATCAGTTTACTCACACCTATGTGTATCTAGGAAATATTAATCACCGACTCGTACTTCAAAAATTTGGAATTGTTACTTGGTACGCAGACACAGGAATGATTAAATGTAGTACACAAATCTGCCCTAAACATCTCGGAAGAGCGTCCTAGGCTATCTGCAAATTCACAAGCTCACTTTCCTATTTATTACAACATCAGAAGGCCTTTGTTCCATATACAGTCTCATTCCCCCCCCCACCGCCGACACTGCAAATTTTAATAGAATTCGCGTAATTCCAACTTTCAGTTTAATCGACTTCCATTGTGCAGACGACACACCACTAGCTAAAGAACAGCGGCGAACTACCGTACTCAAGGAAAGCTGTCTAAAAATCCCATGTACATCGACCCACTATTTAGTGGGAATTCCACCGGCCACTTTGAGGAAACTTTGAAAGACAAAACCCGCGACTGGCACACATCTACGCTCCACTTTGGACACCTGTCATAATATATACCTTAGCACATTTTTTACAATGGCACATTGTGCAGAACACATCACCTGAGCCCTTTAAAAAAAAAAGGAACACTGTCATGCATGTTTTGTAAAACGGACACTGCTATTGGTCAACCCACAGAGAACTTCTTGTCAAATGACCAATCATCCTGCTCTATAAAAAAAACCTTTCAATAGCCTACTATTAGGCCAGTTTGGCCTAGATGGAGCAGGGCACACCCAGCTTTGAATGAGGAAAACATAATCTCTCTTTTCAGATTCCTCGGCTGTCCCAACAATGCCCCCTGCATGACAGTATTCCCTTGGCAACAAATCTTCAGTCGAGACGAAGTCCATTTTTTTGATCTCTTCTTCAGACACAATAGAGGTAGAAAGGAGAAAAGACTTCTTTTCAGCTGTTTTTTTTTTTTCTTTGGGGAGGCAAACGGACAGATGTGCTCTGTTGGTGGTTGTGAACACGCAAAATGTTTCAGCAAGTCCTGACATCATCGTTACCATGGTAATGAGCCCTCCCTCAGGACAGGAAACAGCAACCGCTACAACATTAGACAATAACCTCAATATCAAAGAACTCTGCTCTATCACAAGACTTCATGTTCTCGGGCCACTAGTTACTGATTTTATCCATGCCACGGGGCCATTTACATCTGGCATCCCTTCCCCACCCCAAGAAAATGGCTGAATCAGGCCACAAGCCTTTACAATAATTTTGCTTTTTTTTTTACAGAAACCAGGCTCATATTCAACAGCTTACCTTCTCAATGTACCACAAAACATGCATTAAGTCAGTACAGAATAGAAAAAATGAACTTAGTCAGTTCTTAAAATGCACAAATATGTCATCTTTGCTTACACATACAACAGCATCTTTGCACCATTTGTCGCAATTTCCATATGACACACGTAGCTACAGGAAAAGCAATTCTAACTACGGTACTAGGCTATCGGAAAAATACTACCAGTTCAGGTCATGAAATTCTAAAAGTTTACTCTCGGCAGCAAATATTTTTTCAGTTTATTACCCCTAATATAGTCTCCGAAACAATTATTTACAGAGTCTTTTTTTTACTATTTCTATATTGTGTAAATGGGGGATGAAGTAATTTACAAAACTAAAATGTGTACAGGTACGTCGCCTTGTTTTTTTTTTTCTCTCTCAAAATAAAACTATTTTGTTCCAATATCCCACGACCCTGATGGTAAAAAAGCATGAAGCACGCCCTCTTGAGGTTCAGATGAGACAGGCACTCTTTTGTATAATATATCTTATTAGTCTCACCAATTACCTGTTTATCTACACATACATTCACATTCTGAATTTTCTTTTTTTACACAAGTTATCTGGTTATTTTTTATCCATGGAATTCACAGACTGTCATGAATTGTCTCCTTGAAATTCTAATACTTTTGTGGGTCATGAAAGAAAAACGGGGGAGTCGTCTGTTCTTTGTGGAGACCGAAACACTGGCTAATTTGTTGGTGGGTTGCAAACCATCTAATAATGCGGGATTTCTTTTACCTGAAACCCACGAGCCGACAAAACATTTGTGTACGCATTATCAACCTGTTTGTGCCAAGATGCCCTGTCGTTCTACGCATGAAGCTAGCTGTTTGTTTGTTTTTTTCTAACACCTCTCGAGAGAAGTCATCTAGTCCATGTCGCCGACGTTCCGGCAGACGCAGATGGCGAGAAGCATACAGCACAGCTAGAGCAGAGAAAGGGGAAAGCACAGAGATTGAGGTCATGACCACAAATAAATTCACAAGCATCCCATCGCAGTGTGAAATATCAAGGAACAAACAATAACATTTCTGCTCTTTGCATATTTTTCAGAACCAGTTCTAAATGGTGTAATTAGATGACCAGACCCAGAATTCATTACTGCGGTGGCGTGACGCTTCTGGACAGAAGGCACGCACACGTAACATACATGTACATGTACCTCTCCAACCAACAGGGTGCTGCGAACCATCAAATATGCACCACCGTCAAGCTGAAGAGTGCACATGTGAACGCCGTGCCATGACCTTGTGTGACTTTGATGAAAGATTTAAACAAGCATGGCAGCGAAGACCTTTAAGAGATCCTCCATAGAAATCAGTTATTTACGTCTTCCGGGACAGCGCACCGGTCCATGCAATCAAATGAGTAGCACATTTATAAGAGCGTAAATATCAGGGATGAGATTGACCAATGATTAAAATAGCTGAAAACAGCTGAAAAAAGGCATAAAGAAGCTGAACTGTGAAAATCTTCCATAATTTTGTGCACAGCCGGTGAGCAATAAAAAACTGAAATCCGAAACCAAAAAAGCTGAAATGAGCTGAAAAGCCCTAGAAATATGAACTGTACAGTGCGTATTTCAGAGCACATTCCACTTCAAAGAGAAACATACCTTGTAGGTTGACAAATCAAAACCTTTAAGACCTTGTCAAGTCTACTTCAAGATCTTTTTATCCTTCAACAATGTTGACTTGAAATCCCCATGCAACCTGCTTTCTATATTCAAAGTCAGATTACCGACAAAACTCTCCTCATGCGGCCTGAATTTGGCTTCAAATCTGGCATTCTATTAAAGGTCTCAGGAAGGGGTTTCAACAAGAAGAAGGATTCCAACACCCGTGAAATGCAAACAGTTAAAATCTAATGTTCTCACCTCGAAGAACGCAACTCCTACCGCGGTGGCCCCGATGATGGTGCCGTAGTCCGATATCAACCCCTCGATTCTACCCTTACAGCCCTGTCAACCACAAAGACCCAAAGTTAGTTTACAGACACTATAGATAGCAAGACATCATCTCGCACCTCAAGGTGACAAAAATGTCATATGGCACATGTATGGCAGCGACATAAACCCTCCTGTGAAATCTTAGCTTCGGCTCAGTCTTCGTCTCAACTTCCACTAACATCAGCTGTTGGAACCAAGTGGAATCACTCCAACATTTTGTTTCCCTGCAACAATGCAACCTTTCTGCAGGTGAAAATTGGTCTGAGCTCCATGTAAAAAAACACCATGAAATCTGACAAAAGCTCTTTGCAAGTTAAACTTGAACCAAATCTAGCACACTGACTTTTCTGACTGCACATAAACATAGCAATTTGAATTCCCCAGTCTAAAGACACTGTTGCTATACCTTGTGATTCGGGGCAAGCTTTCGCATGGCGACCACCATCTCTGGAATGGACTGGTTCCTTTCTGCCTTTCTTATCCACCGAAAACAGTATATTGGCGCAAGGCGTCTCTTATGTAACTAAGCAAAAGCTTGCCTTGAATCACGATGTATAGCAACACCATCTTTAGTATGAAGAATTCTAAGTGTTGTGTTCATAACTCAGTGTACAAGATTTTATTCAAATCTTACTCACAAAAGGCTTATTCACCACTGCTATTGGATATTGGTCCAGTGAAATGTTACACATTGCCGTCTTTCTAGGCACTGGTGGATTATGTTGACAAAGGGGGGCTACACCTTCTCCAGAAAAAATACGCATTATTATATATGACAGAAAGACGAGATTTGGGTGAACTTTGATGTTCCCTCATTCCTAAAGTGTGTAAAAAGTCACAGGATTCACCCACAGCTTTTGGAAAGGCCACAAAAGGTCACACAAAGAAATTTCCAAAAGTTTTTTTTCATCCCAGGGTATTGCAACGAATATGAGGTTGCCCGGGGTTCCAGTTACTGGTGCTAATTTGATAAAATGGCCACAGTTTCATCTAAAACTACAGATTTGAACCACTCACTTTTTTAGCCAGTGCTACCTACGGTTTTCTTCTGCCTACTGCCCAGGATTTAGAGCCAATGTTCGTATTAGAATTATTGCTATTCATCGACGGTGAGGACCGGCAACTGGAACTCTGGGGCTAAGCCACAAATATCGCTCAACTTTCTCTCACAAGTCAACCTTTGTGGCATTAAGCTACAGTATGAAACATCATGCGCCTATTCTGTTTATTGTCTGTTTGGGATAAAAATCAGATTTCCTGACAAATATAATACAGCGGTTGAAGGGGATCTAGACGAACATGAATAACACTGTTTAGGAAAGCCATAGCTGCTAACAAGACTGTGTCTTTCGGGCTGGTTCAAACTTCAGGCAACATGAATAACACTGCTTTAGGAAAGCCATAGCTGCTAACAAGCTTCTGTCTTTCGGGCTGGTTCAAACTTCAGGCAAACACGAAAGCGAACGAACTGGACGTCATAAAACCTTTGAGACACAATTCGCTGAACTTGAAATTTGTTCAACTCCTGAAAATTTGGAGTGGGCATATTTGACATGACGTCCTAATTTCCTGAGCGTGTTCCGCTTTCGGGACCAAGTGTGGACCAGCCGTCAGGAAGTTTGTAATGTACCGAATTTCGCGGACTGATGCAGTCATTCATCGCACAGCAGCTCCGAGGGTAAGTTTTCCCGTTGTTCTGTAAATAAGTGTTCTCAAGGTAATCCGATTCACCATTCACACCGCAACACATCAGCTGCAGACAGAAAAAAAAAATGATCAGATATAAATAAATTAGCAGGATGTCCTCCATTATGCCGAAAATGGGGAGTGGGGAGACTAGCTCTCCCCTGACAGCAAGGCTTTTCGATTGTTTATTTAGCACCTTCAATTTGCAGCCCAAATCCTGGTTCAAAATAAATGCGAGGTACCCCAGCAAACTAGAGGGGCAAAGTGCAAAAGGCGGACAACGGACAATTTTTGTCGCTTTTTGCAAACACGTTCCTCTTTGAAATTTATATGTTAGCAGGTACTAGGCCCACATAGCTTTCAAAGAAATTTTGAAAAACTCATGGGCAAAAGTGCTTTTTAAGCCCAGAGAATTCATTTTCAAGAATACAGAACTTGAAATGTTTTTGGATGTGTTATTTCTTGTCTGTTCTTATAAATTCTTGCAAAATGCCATTTTTTATTTCAGTGGAGCATCTATGTAGAGTATACGTGTACTTGCAGATCTTCCAAATGCCTGGCATGTAAACAAAATCTTGAAAATAATGCGACGACAGACTACCTTGTAACTGAAAATAAATCTTGGAACGGAATATTCTCTTCATACTTTTTCTCTACCCACAGAATTCACTTTCATTTCACAAAAAGTGGAAATTTTTTCACACAGCAGGAAAATATTTTCAGGTCTTTTCACGCAAGTTGGAGAACATTTTTCACACCAAAAAAGTGAGAAAAAAATTTCAGGCCTTATGAAACAAGTGAGAAAGATTTTACCCCTTTTCAAACATGTGCGAAATTATTTTCCCACCTTTCCAGTTCATACAAGTGAGAAACCATTGTCACAACTTTACAGTTCACACAGCTGGGAAAACATTTTCATTTTTTTTCACACAGGTGTGAAAACATTTTTATGTTATGTGAGATGCGAATCTCAATGTGAACAGAAAATCTTTTCAGAGACTGTGAGAGGCTTATTTGACAATAGCCTGGTGTCATTGCCACTGTCACTCGCTCTCTTTACCTCTGTCTGGATGAAGTCCCAGGCAGCTGTAGCCAACTCCTTGCCTGTCCTGTTGTAGTCGTCCTTCAAGAACATAGTGCTTTCAGTCTCTAGGTAGGTGGAGATCTGCCGGGTGTACAGAGCGGCCAAAATGCCTGCGGCAATCTGAGCGGCGAACACGATGAACAGCAACAAGAAGTACTGTCAGGAAGAAAAGACAGAAGACCAACATGAATATCAATTTGGCTCTTTCCAGAGAGGGAAGAGGGGACTTTACTCATTAAGCAGCAGACTGACCACTGACCAACAATGACCAGCCAGACAAGGGTCACTTTCCAGACCTTTTCCTCTTCTCTTGCTCCTGGTTTTGTTTTTTTTTTTCCTATCATTTAGCTCACGCAGAGAGGTTTGGCAAATGGAACCCTCTCTGGGGAAAAAAAAGTGATAAACACTGCGCTCCCAGATGCAGGCACACGAAAAGTGGAACCAAGAGTCTGTGGTCTTGCCTCTTAAACCCACTGGCAAATGCAAAGCCTAGGAGCTAAATGTACATGTAGTTCTGCAATAAGGGTACATACCCCGTACATGTACACGTACATGCCATTAAAACTACACAGGGGAACTCATTAATTGCTTCTGTACATGTAGGCGCAACGACAAAGCAGATGTGATTTGTATGTGTACAAAGAAACTGACTGAAGCAGGATCTCAACCTGTGACTTGGGCAACACCGCGCAGGTGTTCTGCCCACTGAGCTTGCAAGTTGCCCACTGGCACATTGGTGGTTCCAGCAATTAGTATCTTTCCTTACAGGAGGCTCACAAGAAGCCAAGCAGAAAGGTACAGTTTGGTTGCGTTCGAGCGAGCTACTCGTGTTAACACGAGTATATTTGTGAGCACTCGAACGGCTGGAATATGACTCGTGGGTCAGCGAGGGGGAGTATACTCGTGCACCTACTCGTGTTAACAGGAGTAATCCCGCCAACACACCCTTTATGTACACTACAATTAACCCAGAAATGTGAAATTTTTCTTTACAGACTTGTTCTCTTTCCCAGGGAATTAGCTTTCATTTCGCTAAATGTGAAGACACTTTTAACCAGTGGGAAACACTGTTGGACCTTGTCACACAAATGGGAAAACAATTTCACAACTTTTCACACTAACAGAAACCATTTTCATGTCTTTTCACACAAGTGGAAAAGCATTTGAAGGCCTTTTTCCATGAGTGGTAAAACATTCTTGAGCCTTTTCACACACGTGGGAAAATATTTTCACACCTTGTGAAATGCCACTATGAATGTGAACATGAATTGTTCTCAAGTGCAAGCCCCCCTTCCGTTTGCAGTGTCAACTTTCAATTGCGATGTCCTATATACATGTAATTTTTTGAATTACGCGTATGTGCAATCTGCACATACATGTACACGTAAACCTGTTGGCAAAACCGTCTTTTACGTACCAAGATCAGCAAACACTTGTTCTCGCACAGTGCCCCAAAACAGCCGCAGACTGCCACGAGGAACACGAAGGCGCCGGCCGCAATGATGATGTAGGTGGCGCTGCGCAGCAACTCGCTGTTGAGCAGGTTGGCGATTTCATCAATGGGGATCCAGTCGGTCACCCCAAACTTGATCAGCAGGCCGGTGGCGATCAGGCCCAGGCCGCATATCTACAGGGGGAAAGCCAAAACAAATAAAATCACGCTAGAAAAATTATACCATTATATCCAAGTTAACCACAATGTGAAGGGGGCTTCTTCAGGGCAATTCCAGGTAAACGTAATAAAAACCTGTCACACCGTTAAATCAATCTTACTGTTATTCATAAGGGAACTTACGGCAACTATGAAGTTGATTATGAACAGAAGAAACTTGATGCATTTGGCTCCACACCCTTCCATTGTCATTTAGGCAGCTACTTCCTGGCTTCCACAAAACAAAGAAAAATCCTGTAATGAGAGCCAAGAACGATAATCTAAAATGTAAATCCTCAAATTCAGGTGGCGGCTTATGACATGAACTGGTCACATACATTACAAATCAAATGTTGAACTTAAAAACAAAGCAAAGGTGAAATTCTGTCAACAAAATTTCAGGAACTCCACAACCAAAGATTTCAAGCAGGCATTTCTATGAATATTTTCATCTGCGACTACTAAATCCAATCAAATCAATGTAGTCCAGTCAAATCAATGTAGTCTATTTAAATCAATCTAGTCCATTCAAATCAATCTAGTCCAGTCAAATCAATCTAGTCCATTGTCTTCTAATCAAATCGATCAAGTCAAACAACTATAAGATCTACATGTATGTACATGCATACTTCTGCCACTTCAACTATTGGTACAGGTGTATCTCTGAAATTAAAACACACAAATGTCTGTTTTCAACATCCTACCGGTACACCTTGTAGGGTAAATTTACATGTCACATTGCTAATTACAACCATTAAACTTGAAGCAGATTGGTCCCTTTTTTGTAGACATTTTCTTGCGAAGATTTTACGTCATTTACAATGTGGTTACAAGTACATGTTCCTACATGTACATGTATATGCAGAACCCAAATGTACATGTACCGGTAGCTTAGACATGCACACTTGTACATGTACAGTACATGTGTACATACATACAATGTACATGTACATGTATATATTGCACTTCCCGGTACATGTATTGACGAGTTACGAAATACCAATACTTCAGCAGACGTGTACATGTGCAGTACATGAGCACTGCAGTACTATCTAAACATTGCAACTTAAACCAGAAATTCTTATTCCTCAAAATCTTATCTGACCTTGTGTGGTACATTTCACAGGTTCGGATGCAAAGTAAAACAGACTGGAATACGGACAAAACGGCCAACAGTCATGACTGAGAAGTGGCCAAACAAACACATAAAAAAACATGACGAAACACTGTAACCTACATGTACGTACATGCACCGGTATACCTTTCAACTTCAGACTTCCAACCGTGGGAAATGTTTTATCGTGGACTCGATCAGTACCAACAAAAGTTAAATCCTTTTCCCCAATCTCCGGTCGCAGTTTATAATTCAATCCAGCTATTCTATGTGTGACTTGACTGCACAAGTTGAGAGAAAGTTTGAACTGACAGCAAACCCGAAATGAAACCAAATTCAGCATCCAACTTTCGCCACACCCTCTGAGCACTGTTCTGCGGTCACATGTGGATGAACAGGAGATGAACTTTACAGCACACATATCTTGTACACACATGCACACCTGTAACACCTTCACTGCATCTGGCCAGACAAAAAGAAAATGTTGTTTCTCCCATAAACAACTGCAAACAAACTTTCAGTGACTTTTTCTCATGTACCCTACCCATGTGTCCCTGGTGTCCAAAAGGATCCAGTCCACTCTGGTTATAACGTCAGATAAAAATAATGAGTCTCATTACGCACGACTTTAGACTAGCATACATGTATAAACAAAAGATACATACATGTACCTACATGTAATAACCCATGTTCTCTTGGAATGGAACACACAAGCACATGCCCTGCTGAAGAAAGCACCAGGTACAAGACTTTTTGCAGGCGTGGCCCACCCACAATGACATTCCAACTCCCATTGTGCGATCTCCAAACGCAGTGACTGTTCAGTCAAGTGACTGAACAATCTGTGTAAACACTCGGCCTCCAGTCCGAAAAAAACGAGACGCTCTTTTGTCCCAGAGAAGGGTGCAACAATACCCCCTTCAAACTGGGCTGAGAACTTGAATTAGTCACCGTTCAGTCAGAACCCATTTCCTAATGTCTCTTTAAGTCAAGCAGGGCAGGGCCGTCCCTAATTTTACAAACAGGAAGTTTGGAGACAACTAACAGTTCTCCTGTACGACGGTGTAAAATTCCAACTCCATGTATTGTATAATGTACATGTACATGTACATGTACATGTGCCAGTATAAAGCACTCATACCTGTACGTGTACATGTACATTGTGAACACAAAATTAAAACCTTGAAGGATTTTGAAGGATTTGGGCAGTAAGGCACACCTCCAAATGACATTTTCAAGAACTTTTAGAGGATTTTGGCTGAATGCAATTTGTTCAAGTTGAAAATTGGAGGATTTCGGAGGATTCAAGATGGTTCCTAGTAAAAAAGCCTAGGGAGTTCGGGTTAATTAAACAATTTTTTTCAGTGGGAAAATTGAGTTATACTCTGGGACAGTGACTGAGAATACAACTGTTACGCGTACATTTGGGGTAAAAAGTTTAAATACCAGAACACCTGGTAGAACAAAAACAGTTTTCCTCAAATTTCACAACTTCACTCAGTCCTACCAACTTTTCTTTTCCAAGGACACACAAGATGGGTCTCTACTTAATGTACATGGTGTATGCCTCAAATAAAGCCCCCCAGAGATGTATACATGTACGATTCATATTGATATTTACTCCAAGCCCTAATATTTGGTGCCACCCTCTGTAGTCTAGGTCACATCTCAGTCGCAGTGGGCCATTTCTGAAGTGTTTCTGAAACACAATGAGGGGGTAGATTCAAATTTTTCATAAAGTGATTTTTCAGAAATATTAATGTTTTGAACTATATTAAACGTCCCTGAGTATTTTCAATTGAAGTACATGTACACACTATGAACATTAAGTTGAGATACAATTTGTCTGACCTCATAAAAATAAAATTAGCAAAACCATTTCAAACAGCAAAAAAACAGGAAAACTATTTTTCTACCAAATGTGTAAAGTTTTTTGCCCCAACTGTACTGGTAGGTCTAAAGCATTCGGCTTCAAAGTCCAATTCTACGGAATCGAAGGAAAAAAATGAGCTTTTCCTCAAAATAAGTTATTCTCCTGTCAAATCTAAAGAAAGAACCTTGGTCAAGCAATATGTAAAATTCCTGTCCTGAATTCTTGCAAAATGCACTCGTCGACTGGTTATTAAAGCACTTCATGATGTGAAGGCGCTGATGCACGTATGAACAACAGCCAAGGCCGACAGGTTTTGTCATAGATATCATCAGTTCCAGAGACGGCTCCCAATAGAAAAAAAAAATTACCCACACGGGGGGAGGGGGAGTGCTATCACTTGATATACCGAGCTGTTGAGTAAATGTACACATACATTGTACAGAATGCATCACTAGGCAGAGGTTCAGACATGGAACGTGGGAATTCCTGTCTTGACGATTAAGATCTCAGAAAGAATGGGTGATGGATGGCTTCATTCAGAACTTGTTTTTCCAAGGGAGTCGTGAAAGTTATGAACTTTGGCTTCTGTATCTACTCACACCAACCAGATCGCGAGCTGGGGCATCAAGGAAAAATAAGCAAGGCTTGCAATAATCCGTAGGTCATACACGTATGCAAAAGAACTGTGAAAGTATGTCAAAACCTTCCATGCTATCTCCGATTCAAAACAGACCGACCAAGCGACTCCCAGATTCCTACCTAAAATCTTTGAGTGTGTATGAATGTGCATTCCAATTTAATCTTGGATTAAAAAAAATATATAAACAGTGCTGGGTACTGGTATGTGGTTGTTTGCTAGCATGTGTACCATCGTTTAAAGGCAGTGAACATGGAGGTACCTACCGGTACATACAGTGTATTTGCTGTGGCATCTTTACAGGCGAATTCACTCTCTCCCCAAAAGGGTCACGTGTAGCCATGCTAATTTACGCATTCTGTACGGCAGTCGGCTCACTAATCGCTACTTTTGCACGCACCACTGCATCCCAATTTTAAACCTTCAGCAATTTTCCCCTTTTTTCCTGATGGTATTTTAATATATCTGGACATTTCGGCTAAGTGGAAATTACGTTAATGTGCGGGAGACCGTAATTTCGACCTCTAGACTGCCGTGCACTGGCTTAAAATTGTACGAAAGTGCTTTTGACTTTGTTCTGACGTGCACAATTCAGGACACTGAAGTTTAATCCGCATAATAAATGAGGGGCAATTTCACAGGTACATGTACCTACTAGTAAATGTGACCAGGGGTGAGATTGACCAATGATAAAAATAGCTGAAAACAGCTGAAAAAAGGCATAAAGAAGCTAAACTGAGAAAATCTCCTATACTTTTGTACACAGCCAGTGAGGGAAAAAAAGCTGAAATCCAGAACAAAAAACGCTGAAATCAGCTAAAAAGCCAAGAACTCTCACCCGTTTAACTGCGTATTTCTTGCACTGGTACACGTATTGGTACTTTACCATGTGTGTAATTTTACATTCAGTTCAATCAATCAAACCATTTTCTCAAATTTTCTCCATTTATTTTTCAATAGCTTTCAAACTTAATGCCTGTTGCGTGTGGATGCTAGATTACTCAAATTCTTTCATTTTTCTCTTCTTTTAAAATTATTTTGAATTTTTAATTAGGGACGCCCCAGCACATGTACCAGCGGCATTCACACACTGTACATGTACACTGTATACAAGTTCCATTACAAGTGAATCAGGGGTGTGAGGGGCCACTTCAAATTATGGCTGAAAAATGCTAGCAAAAAGGTGAAATGTAAAAAGTTCCCATACTTTTGTAAATAAAAAGCCGAAATTCAGGGTCAACATCGAAACAAACAAAAGCTGAAATCAGCTAAAACCTGAATTCTCACACCCCTGGTAAATGTAATGGTTACCATGATGGTTTCCCCTCCCCCCTTTTTTGGGGGGGGGCACTTGAACTGGTTTTAAATTCACCCACTTCTCAAGGACAGCTCTTCTTCGGCGAGGAGACATGATGGAACTGAGAGAACCAGACTCCCACCTGAGCAAGCTGCTCCCTTGGCCGGCCCCCAAGCTGCCATGGCAACCTGTTGTTTCTATGGCAATGCCAGGATGCAGGCCGGCCAGGGTCGCATCTTTAGAATATTATTACAATGAGGGCAGTAGCTCGGGGAAATGCACCATGTGTATTGTACGGGGTATTGTATGTACCGTACAATATTGGACCGCACCTTGTACGATATATATTCATGCACACCACATCCCTCACATGCACATGTACAGTGTGTGGCTCATGTACATGTACACAGCACAGTTTCACGACCCCGGGCAGCTGTGCGCATTGTGTAAGCTACATGTACATGGTACATGTACAACGTCCAGTCAAGTGTACGGTAACAGTATTTATGCAAAAGCCTGATTTCTGTCAATTGAATGATAGGATGGAACACGCACAAAGTGGCATACCGTAAATGTACGTGTAGAGACAGCTGTAAAGCATTGACATCTAGGTGAAAGTACATACATGTACTAGTCCATGTACTGAACATGTTACATTGTACAATGCACAGGGGTGAAATTGACCAATCATATGAAGTAAAATACGGGACAGAGAGAGCCCCCCCCCACCTTTGTGTTGGTCATTGTTATACTGGTATCTCAGGAATTCTTTTCAGACATCTACCGGTAGGGGGGATGTGTTAAATGACAATAGGCAGGAGTGTGTAGAGGGATTGGACTTGTTGGGGGGTACCCGTCTGTCCGTCTGTCCCATTTCGTGCCTGGTACACGTATATGACAATGTTAAAATAGCCGAAAACAGCTGAAAAAAGGCTTTAAAGAAACTGAACTGTAAAAATCTCCTATACTTTTTGTACACAGCCAGTGAGTAAAAAAAGCTGAAATCCAAAACAAAAAAAGCTGAAATCCGCTTTAAAAGCTGAGAAATCTCACCCCTGGATGTACCGCTACAGTAGCGTATACACTGGAACAAGATGAACATTATTTGCCATGCGTTGCTATGACAACTAAAGTGTAGTTGGAAAAAAAAAAGGCCATCAAAAAATGTAGCCGTACATGTATGTTAAAATGAACAATGGTAATCAGTGCTTGAGTTTAGCCAATTACATGTAGCACTCAACAGCTTGATGCGAAAAGGTGAACACAGTACCCTACCTGTGCGTCTAGGACTGCAAGTGTCATGGGGTTCATGCCAATATCATATGTATGCACTGGTACCAGAGGCCTACAGTCAGACAGTGTTACATAGGTACCTACTGTAAACAATGTACGTGCCATACGTTAACAACAACAAACCTGACCCAATTGAAACACCCATAACCTTGTCTTCATTTCTAATAAAAGACAAAAAGAGTAAACCCTCAATACCATAACAATTTTGGGGGGGGGGTTGGGTAAATAACTGTCTTTCTCCTACTCCTCCCTCCGGGTCTTCCGTATACTTGATTTGTCCTGATCGATCACTTGTAGTGTAGTTGTATTTGTGCACAGGTTGGCAACAACAGTGA